TGCAACCATCAAGTGGAACTCCTCAGTCTGCTCCTGATTTCTATATCATCCGTGTGACCTACGAAACGGACAACATCGAGCTGGACGGGATTGTGCTGTACAAGAGTATTATGCTGGGAAATAACGAGCGCACGCCGCAGGTGATTCGAAATGCTATGCTTAAATTGGGTCTGGAGGATGATCCGGATAGGTATACCTTGGCACAGGTCCTACCCGATAAGGAGCTGGTGATGCCGAAGAATGCGAATGTCTACTATGCGGTCAACACGAACTACAACCTCAACTTTATCCTGAGACCGCGAAAGGAAGAGGGTGTGGCAGGAAGCTAGTCCACAGCCGTGCCCCTGTCCCAATTGTGGTGTCTGGGATACGAGGGCGAAGAGTGAGGAGGGTTAAGGATTATACATTGGGGGGAAATTGTAAATAGCTGGAGCTTGACTCGCTCATGACAAAACTGGATAAACCAATTTCTATTTAGGTTCGTAATTCGTTTAAGTTATTTATTTTAAAGTGAAAGAAAGTTGAAGAAACCAATTCGATTAGTTCGATTATCGATTGTTTCGATTTATGTCTATTAATTCGAATCCTGTCAATTATCACTAAACCAACTTTTGTAATCTCTAATTTTTCCAAGGCCTTGAGTTGTATAAGATTTGAAACCCCAATCCAAAACATATATTATATAGAGACTCTACTGGAATATTTGCTGATATTTACAAACACACATATACATTAAGTATATTTACTTATATACAAACATTTATATTCTAAATGTGGTACAATAATTTTGGATCTTGAAACGGATATTGAGTTGGCTTAAGGATTCTCATTGTCTGTACTTAACTTTGAGGTCCTTAAAACACAAACAACTAAGCATATTTGTATAGATGTTTTTACCCACAGTACGTGTATTATAAATACCAATTAAAATATAAGTACTATATATGTAACTGTTTCCGAGTGGAGTGCACAACAACAAATAATGTTTTATGGATAACTTTAGCAGTTTAAGATACTGTATTTCAGATTTTCTAAGTTATCTACAATGAAAATTAATGAGAGAATGAAACAATTATACACTTATTGTATACACTAAGAATCTGCTTTGATTTATACATATTAAATATGAAAAATATTTAAATACAAATTTAAGTTAACGAAAGAAGAGAAGAAAAACAAAGTAATATTGTAAATATAAAAGTAAAAATCGATAATTTGTGTTCTTCTAAAAAATAAATTGTACCAAATGAAAGAATAATGTGACTTGTGTATTTACAATAAGGATTTCGTCCAAAGTAAGTAAAATAGCGGAAGCCTATTAAAGTTTGAAGTAATACATTTTTAAAGATTAATTTAATGCGATAAACAAGTTGAAGCTTTCCTTTTTTGGAATCAAGACCTTAGACACTTTTTTAGAATCACATCATCGATATATTTCAAATATCATGTCATCCCATCTATGCCAGGAAGTTTGTCATTCCATTTAAGGTATTGGGAATCCAACAAAACAGATTTCCAACTTTGATTAGCCCGGCCTGGCTATGTGAAAACTTAACCCCCAGTGGACGGAAAAAGTTAACCCATTTCGATGTAAAAAGCGAAGAAGGACGAAAAGTCGAAAAATCTGATTATCAAGCAGCCGATGCCAAGAGAACTTGGCCAAGGCTTCAAACCAAATCAGCATCCACAAGGCTAAAGGAAGGGGTTAGAAGAAAGGGCCAAGTTAGCGGGTCAAAACATCTCATTACATTTGCAGGCTGAAACACACACACACACACCAACACAGCTACGAGATGAAGGCAGTAAAACTGAAATAAATTACTTTTTTGGCTTTTAACAACTTTTGGTCGTCGGAAACGAAAACAAGTTGCACCTTCAAATGGGGTGACCCGCCCCTAAAACTTTCGCTGAAAACAAATCTCGTTTTTCTTACCCCTTTTTCGGCGCGTATAATTTTTGGGCCGACACAAACTTTAATTAGATCACTTCAATGACAAAAAATAAATAATCTCGTTCCGCAATAATAAAACCCACAGAGGCAAACAAATTGAGGATGTAAGGCAACGGGCAAGGGGGCGTGACAGGACAGCGGGACTAGCTTGAAAAGCTCTCGAAAAACAAACTTTCTCAAACTAGTCGGTGAAAATCCGCATCAAGCATCAAATGGAAATGGAAATGAGTTGACTTGACTTGACGTTGAGGCTGCTCAAAAAGGGCTGAAAAGTGGGCGGTCACATCTAAGTGGAGTGCTGCCAAAAGGGGGTGTGGCGGTGAGCAGGAGGTGAACATAGTGAAAGCTCCGGGGTTAACAATGACGTCATCGTTGTGCAAGTCATGAGCACACGAAGAAAATCTTAACCACATCGGTTGTTCAATGACAACTTTTTAAAGAAATATTTTTAATTAAAATTTATGACGAAAAGGTTATGTTCTGTACCTCAATGAAAATTGTATAAGTTGTATTATCACTTTCGAATCTGAAGAATTTGCTATTTATTAATGAATTTGCCTCATTTAGTTCTCTTAAGGAAACGGAAGTACCGTTAAACGTACTGTGAAACATAATGGAAACTCGTTAAATATTTTTCTCAGTGCAACGGAAGCAAACCCAGTGAGGGGGAGGGGAATAGTGAAGGAGGTAAAAGCAATTTCTAGCGTACAAAAGCGTTTCGTCATAACTGAGAAGGAATAATCGATAACCTCAAGCAGACACAATGACGCAGTTGGAATGACATAATTCAACACATACCCACAGAGAAAATTGATAAGACAGGGTCACAACTGCAGGTCAAAACAAGAAATTCAATTAGAAAGTCCTAGAAGAAAGTGGGGGATTAGGGGTGGCGGTATCATGACGACAGTCTAGTTTGGCCTTCTCCATTCCTCCACGCCACACACAAGCCCCCACCCCTTGCGGGTTACACCCTCTTCCTTAACGATTCCCTCGACCATATACCCACCATATAGCACGTGTACATTTCCATCGACACCAGGTGAAACCTTCAAACAAAAAACAGCCAAACACAAAAAGAAGAACACGAAACTTAAAACGAAGACTCATGCCAGGTGACTTAAATACCCTTGCGAAAGAATACTTCAAGAGCGGATGTTGTTTTGGAATATTAACATTATATAATGTTGTTTTGGAATAATTATATCTTGTAATCTAAATATCTAAGCGCAATACGATTAATATTAAAAATTTGAAAGCATTTAATAAAATATTATGTTAGTTTGAAAAAAGGCAACCACATTTACTTAAAATTTAATAAAATGATCTTGAATTTAATATTTCCTGCATTCCTCTGGAAACTCGAAGCCAAAGGAATCGCACCGTTATTTTCGGTTGCTTGCTTTCGAGCGCTTTTCTCAGGCAGGCGAGAATGCAACAACGTGTCGGGCCCTCACTCACACTAGTGCCCTTCGCCAGTTTCCCACTCTCTCTGCCACACACTCACCAACACACAGCCTCCCTAGAGAGAGAATAAAGGACCTGTGCTACCTGCCAAACTAGTCCTTCTCTGCTTCTTCCTCGTCGTGTAGCTCCTGTCACACATTTTTGACGTTTCTTCGCCAGCTGTGTTGAGTTCCTGCGTGGGAGAGTCGCCCAACAAAAGAGACAGCGCGAGAGAGGAAACTCCGACAGGGAGAGAGCTTTTTTGCAAGCTCTGGCATTACCTGGTTCTTTTGGGTCTCATCGGTTGGGCCTCAGTTCGCTTTTCGGACTATTGAGTGAGTTCCCTCCCTCTCTTTGGGGACATTCGAGATGGAGAGGAAAACGAGGGAAAATGCAAGAGTTGGGGTAGCTGGGCAGGCTTTTGATGGGCGCGGGTTTGTTGGATGGGTTTTATGGCTACACCAAGACACTTAATTGGGCGAAAGCTTCAATAAAATGTTGCATTAAGCCATTGTAGCTGCGAGATCTTAAGCCAAGTAATTGTAATTTGAGACATTTAATTTCAATTATTTTTATTTGCCATTGGTATTACAATTTTGAACATTTTGAAACTATATATGTACATATGTAGATATGCAGCATATGTACAGTACGGAAAATTAAGTGAAATGTAGTCCTATTTTCGGGATATAATTAAGCATTAAATATCATGTTCTTTTTTACAAAGTTCCAACTTCTTTATAGCGAAGGAATTTATTTAAATATTTGAATAGGTGCTAACAATTTATTAGTTGTGCATTCACATGATTTAAATAAATGCTTATTATTTACATTTTATTAAAACCAATAGATTTTGAAGGACAATGTAAACTTAAAAGTAAACTTTTTTCAAAGTGCACAATTACGTCTACATTTTAGGTGCATGTGGACCTGGTGCCCATAACAAACGTAACAAACGTAACGAAAACAATTACACGAAAGAAATCCTCAAAAAGCACACTGGAAACGAGACTGAGAATACACACCCCCTCTCTCGCATTCCCTTTATCCAGGGACCCCCTTCCCTCGTCCATCTCTTCAGGGACTGCTCAGTGAACATTAAAATAACAAAATCCAAACAACGCAAACTTTGAGTGCAAGACCAACAAGAGAACCTAGAACCCAGGGCCAGAGAGAGGTGCACTCAGAAAAATAAATAAAATATTCACATGTGCATTGTAAGCACATTTTATTAATATTAATATTATTATTAGGGGAAAACATAAACGATTTGAAATAAAATAATTATTATTATTTTTATTATATATTTAGTTTCTGAATTTAAAAATGGTTTTAGATCAAGTGCATTTTGTAAAAATATTTAAATTGTATCAAAATAATATATATGTTATATATATATTATATATATCAATATATATTATTCATGCAAAATAATAATTTCAATTAATATGCAAATAATATTTTTAATTTTTTTATTCTTTTATTTATGTGTAGGGACAGCATACGTGAGAGAGGGAGAGAGCACGCAGCTCGCCAGGACGTCGCCAGTCAGTCTCGGCGGGGATTCCGCTCTCGGAGGGTTGCTCTCTTCGGCTGCACGGAAGCCTACAAAATCGGGGAAAGCTTTTGGGCCGAGGCCTCTGCGAAGCGAAGCCTTCAAAGTAGTCGGAGAAGTGGAGCCAAACGGTAAAGACGCGGAGCTCCGCTGAAAAATAACACAATATACAGAAGGAGAGAGCGAAGGGGAAGAAACTACAAAATCGCAGCCCAAATCGCGCTTCGTGGAAAAGAAAAAGTTGGCTACAAAATAATTGCAAAAAGGCTTCCGCCAAATAACACCGAAAGAATCGAAATAAAAAGTGTTTTGAAATGCCAGTTAAGCAAATACGCCAATTATGGGCTGCATAAGGCGAAAGAAGGAAAGAGACAGGGCAACTCTGCCTCTTCCGTGTTGTTGTGTGTAATGTGTGAAACGATTTTCCTCCTTCAACAATTTTTTTGGCAATATGCACGGGGCATGTAGATACAGCGACGAACATGCTAAAATAGAGCCACAGAGAAGGGCTCTTCATTAAATTGGTTGCAGGAGAATAAGCTGAAAAAAAACAGAAACAGTAGCAGATGAGGGTTACTTTATGAGGCAAACACCAAGGAAATAATAACCTTGACGGCTTCTGGCCAAGGCTCTCAACTCGCTGTTCGATGGCTCCAGTCATACAACATGGCGTTTGCTTAACAAAACCAAAATATTATATGCCAGCAAGTATGCAAACATGTGCAACAAAGTGTGCGTGCGCGTGTGTGGGTGCCAAATAAAATATTAAGCAAATAAATAAGCGATTCGATTCGACTCGACTCCACTCTACGCGATTCCCGATGACGCATTCGAGAAGAGTAGGGCAGAAGGTTAAATTACACAAAACGTCAAATTCGCCACGTACGATAGTCGTTTCGGAGTCGCGAGTCCGAAATTCGGATTCGGTTTCGGAGTGCTCGGTCGGGATACGGAGTATTCAGATTATAGGCGTACAGAGAGCAGAAACTATAGAGCACATAACACACCAAAACTTTCCAACTGGACCCGGCCAGATAAATACAAAGCCGAAAAAATCACCAAAAAATCATTAAATATTATGAGTCTATGAGCCTCAAACAAAGTGTCGCTGTGTCACTGAAAAATAGCAAGCATATTATTTCAACAATTTACTCAACCAGAAAATGTGCCTAGCTCTCTGAGCGTGGGAGAAAGCTTGACAAGAGAGAAAGGGAGTGAGAGAGAGAGAGAGAGTAGCACCCTCAACCCAAATTCACCACAATAAAATACAACAAAGAGGCAACTAAAAAAAAAATTGAAAAAAAATACTTTCACTCTCGCCACAACGTGGCGGCATCGAGAGGCAGGAAGCGCATAGAGTGACAGACAGACAGAAAGAGACGGACGGCCGGTCGGACGGACGGCGCTGGAAAACTCAAAGGGAAAACTTTTTGCATGCCACAAGCAGCAGGAGCGTCACAATCAGCATCAGCTGACTGCTGCAGGAAGCCTGGCAGCAGGACAACTGTGTGTTGCGGACAGGACGAGCGTCCGGTCGTGTCACCATCCATTCAATAGGGGCCTCCAGCAAACACTGGCCGACACACAGGCTCCTCTGGCCGCCACTCACCAACACACACACACACACCGCGCCCGAGCAACGGCAGTTTTAATGTATCCTTAGAATTCCAAACAGGTGAGCATACAACCCAAATTGTGAACACAGATAAGGCACAAATAAGGTGCAGTGAAAGGACTTGATACTCGTATAATAAATCATTGTGTTTATAGTTTTGAATGGGCGATAAGTCTGAATGCCTCGGCCCGCAAAAGTGTGCTACATAAAAAGTTGCGAAACTTGTCACTAGGATACCGTGAATACAGTAGTCTCATTGTTTCAATTATTATTGGTCTCTCTTGCCCATTTTGTTTTCGCACATAGCTCGGTAAGAGTTTTTTTCGGAATATGACATTTGATATCTATTTAAAAGTTTGCATAAATATAAGACAACACAAGGCCGCTTGATGTGGGTTATAAGCTAAATACTGTGAATGCAAAATAGTTTGTTTAATTATTAGAACATAGACGTTTCACCAAAACAAAACACCAGCTATTCTCTATACCATCTATACCAAACTTATTCACTTTTGAGGTGAATACTAACATTTTATAAGATAAGATGATAACATTAACATGATAACATTTTCTTGGTCGCAGGTGAATTGGATAAAATACTTAGACCATCTTCAAGAAGTAGTTTTCTGTTCGGTTTCAAGCCAATTACAAAAGTGTAGCAAATTTAATTTATTTTCACTCAGCTTTAATTTTGGTATCACCACAATTAAGTTTTTGTTAAGAAAAACTTGTAACCTTTTTAATATCTCTCAATTCTGTAATTTTTCTTATTAAATACCCGAAGTAAAATATAGGTTAAAAAGCCGTAGTCCCGCTGCTTTTTTACAAATAAATTAAAAATGTCCCATCGACTAACAAGTACATGCCGGAAAAAAAACGTTCATGTCTTCAAGGACGCTCCTTTCGATTTTATCTCAAGCCCTGCTCGGCACTCGCACCCTTCAAACGCTCTTCAATTACAAAACTTTTATTCTTTTTCTCCACTCTTCACGCAGCAATTTGGCTTTAATTGCAACCGCCCCCAGTGCAATCTTAATTTGCATAAATTTTCCGCGTGCCGAACGGACACGTCCCCTTCGTTAGACTCATAATAACCACAACTCAGTTTCAATTAAGAGCTCAGCCATCAATTATGCAGAGCAAAAATGATGGCGGTGAACCAAAAAAATCGAACCAAAAAAAACAAAAGTTTTACATACTTTTCGGCTGTCCAACGTATAATAATATATTACTTATTATTAATGCAATTGGGTAAAATTTAGCCGTAGAATTCAATCATACAAAATGCAAAATAGAGGTATAGACCACAGAAATGCGAGAAATCAAATTTTCATTTCCAATTAGTGCGCTGAGCTCCAATCAAATGGGAGCTGATGTAAATAGGCAAATATCACTCATACGCCTAGTACGCCCAATGTCCTGTCAGGCTGTGCGCTTCCGTTTTTCGGCAATTAATTAGGCGCAAATTTTAATTAAATGGCGTCAGTGGATGGAATGTTTTCCCGATGACGGCAGTTGGCACTTGGTTCACGGCCAAGTTATTTTCTTCTCCCCAACACCGAGCTGTGGCACAAACTCATTAAATAGTTATTACTCAGCCTCAGCTCGTGTTCGCCTCAGCCAAAGTGTCAACCACGAGTGTGTTTTTTAGGTTATTAATATCTTACTCGAAATTTCTGTTGTCGCTGTGTCGTTAATAATGGCTTTTGTGAAAGTGATAAGGTAAACTATCTTTTTGGGTCAAGGTGGGTGAGGTTTTGGGCTTGTGTTTTAATAAACAATTGTCTACGTATAAAGATCAGTTTTGTAGTATCTCTATAAGATCATACCTAATATTTTATGAAAGGCATCTCAAGTTGCAAGTCCTTAAAGCTATTATGCTGATATATCCGCTATCGAATTGAAGTTACGTGACCATCTTCCCAGTCGCCAACTTTAATTACACCCATCATAAAATAAGCCGAAAAACCCAACCCACCGCACAGCGAAGGTGAAGGAAAGAAATTCCAATAATTGTTTTATGGTATAACTCAAGGTGTGGGTGACATACCCTGGCATTCCCGGAACGCACCTCACATCCTGACCTCGCACTATCCACAAGTTTTTGGCTGGCAATCATTAAGTGGCCAAAGCCCAACTAAAGCAAATCCAAGTGGGGTTTGAAGTGGGCCGAGCCCTTCTGCTTTTAGTTTTCGCTGGCATAACAATCAATCTTGGAGCCTATGAGGGGGAGGAGGGTGGCAAACGAAGACACAGGTGTCCAGTCAGAAGGATATCGTTAAACGGAGGGCGGGGCTGCCATATCAAATAATCCTTTTTTTGTTCATGCTCGTAGATATGTATTTAGCAAACTCAAGCTTGAGCACTTCAAGAGCTCATTAAGTGGGCTAACCTTGATGGAGGACATGCGGGGTGGGGGTGAATTGGGGTCGTCTTAGAAATGTTGCAAGTTTCCCTCTTAATTCACTTAAGACTTTCGGTTTGAGTTGGCCAGTACTCACGCGCACACACAGGCGCACACATTATAAATGGCAAATCCTACAGCCGTAAGGTGGCAATTGAATGTCGGACTCCGTCTCTTTCTGTGTGTCCGTGTGCAGGTCCTTTGAGTATCTTGTATTAAGAAAGTTTCCCTCACCGTTCGCCATTGAATTGAGTCGCAAGTAGGTCTTGATAAAGTAAGGACCATTCAGCAGTTTTCCATAGGCAAATAGAAAAATATTTATAAAACTGGAATTGCGATTTGTCCTTGCAACTTTTCCTACGTTCCCTCTCATTTTTTTTTTCCATTTTCTGCTGTAGGAGGTAAAAAGGATGTGGGATAATAGATTTGCGTCTGTACGAGCGCCTCGGTTAACCTCTTTCTTTGTTATTCTCCCCATTTTCAACCCAGGGCAAATTGCTATAAGTGTGTTGGGGGCTTTGGCTTTGGGCCATGTTTCTGTTTCACTCTTCATCGGTGACACTAATTGCTGGCTTATTATCCTTATTTGTGTTGGAAATGTGCTGGATCTGGGGCTTTCCCACGCAACTCAACGATTATGATGACTCTGATAAAACGCTGTATTATTTATTGCACTGCGGGGTTGCCAAATTGTGAACTGCGAATTTAAACGTGATGAATAATAAATGCCTCCCTTTATGACTTTCTATTAAATGCGTCGTTTATGATAAAGTCAGCGTTCTGAGCTTCACTAAATTTCAGAAGTAAATAACATAGTTTGTGTGTTCTTTTCAATATCCACTTAAAATAAACATAGCTTCTTAGACAGTGAATCCGTTGGAAATAAATAGAAGCATATATTTACATTTAATAGACTCTTGCAGAAAGAGCGATTTATATATGAATTTATTAGTTTTTGCACTTATCTTGAACAGTTTTCCATAGCCCATCGTGGCAATGGCTTCCCTACTGTCTTTCTCCGTTGCGGCATGGTTTGACCTGTTTATGTATTTATTATTGATTTTGGCTGGTGCCCCATTTGGTCTGGCAGTTTATTTTTGGATTTTATTTTCATGACAATGGGTGGTTTATTAACTTTCAGTTGGCTGACACAATAATTAAGGGGCTTATGGGCTGCAGTTTGGCATTCCAAATTATGTGGAATTTTCTATAGGAGATTTATGTAAAAATTGAAGGCTTTCAGCGCTTTAATGCATAGACAAGCGAATGCCAAGCCAAATGGCTAAAATTGTCAATAACATTTGATTCTTAATTAAGATGAATGGTAATTTAACCTGACCTAACATAGCTCGCCTCACCTGTGATATGTATGATTATTAATTCCTGTCATAAATATCAATTTTCAAATGCACCAATTTCGTACTCCTCACTACATGGCAAGCGTAAACTAGAATTCATGCCGGGCATAATATGTTAGTTGGGTTTTTTATAACAACCCCAGTCCACAGTCACCTTTTAGTTTGTGTGTAAGTTGCGTGAGCTCTTCATTCAACTTGAGACTTTGTCGACTCGAGAGCTTCTTGCTAGCCCGAACTCCAGCCATTCAGCGGTACGTGTGTATATATTCTGGTGCTTTTTGTTTTTGCCCAGAACTAACTTTTCGTGACTGGACAAAATGCTGCTCGGCGTTTTGTAGGAAATGCCAGCCTGTCCTGGCTGTCCTGTCTCTCGTTGGCACACACACACTCCCCGGACCCTGACTTCCCCAGTTAGTTTCATTTGCCTTTTACATTTCCACACATTTCCTACTTTTTTACCGCTGCACCGGGAAAAAGTTATTGCTCATAATCATCAAGTCAGAAAATATCAAGGAAATGCAAATACATATACATGCATGCAAATATATTACCAACAAGAAATCAAAAAAGTTTTTCAAAAATGTAAATCTTCCATTTATTGGTATTAGTTGGTATTAGTTGGTATTAGCGAATGACAAAAAAATGTACTGCAATTTATTCACAATTATTCATATTATACATACATTAATTATGAAAATTATTCACATCAATCAATCAATCAGTATGGTGAAACTGCAAAACATATAAATATATCAAAAATATATACACTTCACATTTGGATTTTGACATAAAAGGACCAATGCTTTCTCCGAAATGCAGTAAGGGTTCCTCTCAGTGTAGTTGCGTGTCTGTGCATAGACGACCTACTCAAAAGAGGGAAATTTGGGCGGAAAAGGGGGTGGTGTGTGGTAGGGACAGCGAGACGACGCTTTGCATATTTATTTTATTTGATTTCTGTTCGCTTTTTCCTACGTTTTTTAGGTTTGGCGGGGATCTGATATTCCCGCTTATATAACAAACGCGACGTGTGATTAAAAATTCGTAATTTGCTCGTATATTTCGTATACCTTACTTCGCTCACCTGGTACCCTTCTTTGTGTGTCATGTTTTTTGTAGCATACCTGAGGCGTTCCACTTCCCAGTTCAACTTTTCCCCTCTTTTTTCGAGCGTGTTTTGTGCCATTTTTGCCGCAGCCAATGCTGTTGTTGTAACCGTTCCTCGTGCTTCATTAATATTTAATTAAAAAATCAATAGTTGACATGTAAGTCAACTTGGTTTGTTCTTCTTTCGGGCCTGGTTTGTTGTACCTTTTCCACGTTTTCGGTTCCTTTTGGCCATTTTCTTTCTATCTGCCCTAACTTATGCATGTGCATTTGTGCATATCTTATTATGGCAGATTTTCTTCTGGCTTCGTGTCGTCTACGTGACGTTTTAGTTGGAAAAATATCTCAAGAAAACCACACCCTTCACGCTAGCAAAAGGAAATTTTAATTGAAAAAAGGCATGTATGTTTTACATATCTATTTGCATACCAAAAGAAGTAGCTGTAACGCATATGTAGAGGACAGAAAAGACATATTTCAGTCTTTCGCCATTGATTAAAAACAATTGTTTGAAGAATCAGCTTCATATTACAATGCCTATCGAGTGTTACACTTGAATTAAACCACAATTATTATATTTTGCTGGTAGAAGGAAGCTCTTCCGACTTAATTAAGTATATGTTCTTGATCAAGATATTTGGTCAAGTCGTTCTGGTCTTGTCCGTATAAATGCTGTGATCTCGGGAAGTATAAAAGCTACAAAGTTGAGAGAACCATGCATGGCGTCTAAACGGGTATCTGATAGTCGAGGGATTTGACCAGAGCGTTCTATCTTGTTTGCACATACAAACATGTATGCCAGGCATTCAAATATTCAATATCAAATATCCGGGGGCGTTAGGTAATTGAGTGGCAGCATTCACAAAGCTCATTAATACATGAACTAGTGCATTTCCATTATGTATTAGATTGCATTGTTTTGTTGTAGTACTTGGCTCACGGGGCAAGTACAACGTCACTTTGACAAGGCCCTTGGAATATCTTTCATCTGCGGGCCATCAATTTGCTTCAGATGAGTGCTGAAATTAAGTTCATATGAACTAATATGCGATTCGATAGGACTTCCCTTTTAACTTGATATAGGATTAGCATTAATAGGATTAAATGAGTAATCTTCACATGCCATCTCAAGACTTATAATATATAGTTTTTCATCCGTTTAAGAAAATTATTTTATTTAATAGGTTCTGTTTATTGGTTAAAACATTTTATCAATATATTGGGAGTTGAGTGAAGGAGGGACTGCTTTTCTTTGTGACCAAAACCACAATATAGACTTAAAATATTATATTATTATCCTTGTTAGTTTTCATAAGCTGATTAATATGCGTTCGAACTAAGAGGATATTTTGCATTATATGCACTAGAAGGCAATATTCGTAAGTAAAAAGAAACCACAAGATGTACTTCTTAAATTTACCTTGCAATCATATGTGTCACAAATGAGTCACATTTCGAGAAGTTTTCTAAAGTTGACAATCAACACGCTGCATATTCCGGCTTATCACCAACTTAGTAAGAACTCAGCCCGTGGAATAAAGAGAAAATGCACATGATTTCATGTGATTTGCTGCGCAGAGTAAACAAGGCAAAGTCACGTAACTCGAGTCAATGCTCTGCTTATCAAACTTCCACGAGATCTTGTTCGAGATTTATTGACAGCACCACGGAAACGGGAAATGGGAAATGGGCAAGGCACATGTTCCCCATGTGCTACCTTCCTTTTATTTACGCGCAATTAACCCAGTTACAAGTTCGACATGCCGCTTTTGGCAAACAGCCCCCGCACTCGTGCATATCCTGCATTCATCATAATTACTTCCCCAGAAATTTACCGCCGAAAAAAAGGCAAAGGAAAAGGAGAATGGAAAAAAAGGAGTTCGCTGATGATGATGATGAACGGTGATGAATGCCCTGGGCTTAAGCGAACTTCTGCAGCCTTGGTTAATGTTTTAATATGCCTCTGGCAACTATTAAGCGTACTTGAAAAGCTGAATGTTAAATGCCAGGCGCATATTAAACATCAATTATTAATGGCAAGCGATAAACGGGTTTGCTCTGAAATAAAGTCTTTTGCATAGCATACATTTGGGGGCCTCCTTTCTTCCTGTTCATTTGCGCCTGTGTGTGTACTCATTGTATGCAAATACTCAAACATCGAAATGTGCTTAGCAATTATTTTAAAAATGCAAACAACTAGAATACCAACAACTATGACTATTGCCATCGCAGTTGAGCATCGGACCAAAAAGCACGATGTAAAAGGACACATTCCCACATCGACACGGAAAAAAACCCTTGTTTCCATTTCAATCTATATTTATATATTTATATAAATTTATATCTATATTTAAATAGACCTTACAAAAAGAAATGTAATTGTTAAAGCAAGCTGTGCCATTTTATTGCAGCTAACATCATGTGAATATCCTAAGAATTTTTAGGCTCAGCTTGACGCTTTTTTTCTGTGTAAAATACAGGCATGAAACCTGCCTAGGCTCGAGTCCAATAAAAACTGGAGTGAACAATATACAAAACTTATTTTCAAATCAAACAACAGCAACAGCAAAAACCAAAGACAAGGGGGCAAAGTGCAGGCGGCGTGGCAGTGACAACGGCGAAACAGTTACAACAAACTGCCAGCTGTTGGAAGTAGACAAACACGAGAATTGGAACTCGGCACAGTGGAATCTGAGCCCCCAAAATTATACAAATATTTTCCGAAAACCCAAAATGTTGTCTTTCAAATATTCACAAATTATTTGACCATCTGACGCCTTCTGATATTCCATATTTGAGTTTAAAAAACGCTTTAAATTTCCTCCAAAAATGTACTGCATTGAGCAATGTATGCCACGGTCTATCTATGCACTCTCGACTGGCTGCTTGGCACAAACCAGAGTCAGACTAACAAATTCCGAAAAATGTCACAACGCGTACATGAGAAATGTCCTTGTGTCAAGCGCCAACGACAAACGGCGGCAACTGTGGTTGTGAGTGTTGGTGTGTGAGTGCTTTTTGTCACCGTTTAGCAGTTAGTTCTTCCTTTAGCGATTGCAAGCATAGCGATAAAGTCCAGCACGTGTTAGCCTGCTTCCGAATGAATACCGTCCCTTGGAGATCCCGAAGTGGATGTTATACCCGGCACTTGCGATAATAGCACTATATCCGCGGTGAGCACTGATTATGAGCTTTAGTGGCCCGTTTGGGACTTCATCAGTTTTGCCATTTTTGAAGTTTGCAAGCTGTCTTGGGGAATTTTCAGAAGGACGATCAAGTCCGAGCCCCACAACTTAATGGCAATAAGTGGAGCACTCTTTGCAAGTGCACAGTGTCGCTGTTTATGTGTGTGTGAGTGAGTGCGGTTCCTGGGCAAGTGTGTGTGTGAGTCCTGGCTGTGCTTTACCAAGGTCATGAGTAAATACGTTTGGAGCATGCTGTTTTTGTCGTTTATTCTCTAACAAAGCCAGGCCAGCAGCAAGAACAAAAAGAAAAATAAATAACAGAAAAGAGGGACAGAGAGAGTGAAAATTTATTGTCATATCTATTTAATATAGGGAAGCTTCTGCTGATGCGTCTTATTGATATTTATACAAAATACATTGGCACACTCACGCACACACACAAACATATGTTTTCCATTTCTGCGCGTGTATTTGTTAGCCTCATTTGTAATGGCGTCTGCTTGCCAATTTGTTGTGTGGCAGAAAGAAATGCAAATGGGTATCGGTAAATCAAAAAGGACATTATTGGCTGCTTGTTAGACGTAAGCACAATTGCCAGCCATTACGAAGGTGTCTCTGTGTGCGTGTCCCAGTGTGGGTGTGCTGCTGTCTGAATTAAGCATGTGTGCGTGTTTAGTTTGTCCTGTGTTTGTGTTTGTGTTTGCCAATGGTCGACCGCTAAGTGCGCTTAAGCGTCAAACCAAATTGGCCGGCGCTTTGTTCTTCAGCGCTTAGCTGAAAGTGCACTTTACCTTTCCACACCTCTCCCATCTCCCTCCCACACACACACACACACACACATACACTCAGCTTAACAACTCAAATGTAAAAAGAAAAAAAACACACATGCACTAGTATTTGAGCACTCGAAACTTATTTGCTATTTACACTCGATTAATCGACAGCGTTTCGTTCATGCCTTTGATACAACTTTTATTGGCATAATCGATGGGGAAGTTTTTTAATTGAATTCGATGGCCTGATCGAAAGTTAAGAAACTTGCCTTTGATTGCCATTCAATATCGAATCATTGAGCTAGTCAGCTTGGAGTCTTTAAATAATTTAAATCATATTGATTCAAACTGAAAGTAAACCCGACTAGTGTGGCGTAATTATGGAATGCCCATAGATGTGATCCATGTGCATGTGAAATATACTGCAGTTCTGCTTAGTCCTGTAAAATTGCAACTATTTTATGTTCAGCACCACAGAATGGCTATCGTGTGCCCGTCAGTTCCGTTACCAGGGGCACGGCTAAGTGAGTGGCAATGTGTGAGCACGGCAATTTTCAACTATTTATGAGTAGCGAGGTGCCCTCTTTCCTTCATCAGGAGGACGTGTAAATGTGTAAGGATGGCTTGGCCCAGAAGCACCGCCACTGGGAGTGTGGCACATAGAGCTCTGGCTGCCTTTGTGCTAACCTGTTTTTGTTTTGCCAACCAAAGTTGGCACATAAATAATGAAGCACGGGCATAAGTTCCCATTGATTTCGCAGTGTGCGCAAATGAATGTGTCTGTGTGCTTGTTTGAATGTGTTTGCATGGCTGGTGGAGCAGGGATGAGGGGCGGTAGTACACCATATGACTCTGGAGATTAAGCCATTGTTTGCACTGAATGTGGCGCTCAGTCTGAGCGGCGGCTTAGCGGCCTGCGTACGCAAACAAAAGTTGTTCGCGGGATTGCAGATTGAAAGGTGGAGCTGAGCGGAGGGGGTGTTTTAACCCAATTCCGGACGGCTAGTACCTGGTATTACAGCCAGGGTCGATTAGGCCCCTTTGCAAATTTTGAAAAAAGACAACATGCCACACTTCTAAGAGATCTGATGGATTGGGAGATTTGAAAACTTGTCATGGTCACAGAACACTCACGACAAAGTGAAGAATCCCATTTTGTTAAAGTTTTCGATTACTAATTGTAAATATTAATGGCAACCATTCCATTCTTTCAGCTCCAGCAGTGTAATGCGCCTTGGGGGCAGTGGCATTCCATACGACGGCGACCCCCTGACAATGAGCGCAGCTGGCAACGACTATGCCGAACTCTGTGATCTTGGACCCTCGCGATGGAGTGCCCGACCCTACGGATACAATGCGACCGCAGCGGCAGCCGCCGGCTTTGGCCTGGGGCCCTCGATGGGCGGAACGCAGTCGTCGTCGAGCGTGCCGACGGGCGGATCGGCCGGACTCAGTGGTCACCACCTGCGCAGTAGTGGAGCGCCGGGACCGAGCAGCTTCGAGGCGGAGGACATTGGTATGGCCTTCGGCATGATCAGTCCGCCGCCGGGCAGCGGACCCTACGTCGGATCGTCGGCGGCGGCGGGAGCGGCGGGCGGTTCGCGCGTTGGCAACAGCACCAGTTCGCTGCGCGGTGCCGGCGGTCGATCCGGATTGTATTACTCCCCGCCGGGCACCTCTTACACGATCGTCGAGCGCCCCCACTCGCCGCACTACTACTTCAACTCGGCGGGCGTGCCCACCAAGGGCGGCTCGTTGCCGGGGCGTGGCAGCGCCTATCTCAGCTCCTCACCCGCCAGCCACATGGCCGCCGGAACGGCGGGCACCCTGCCCACCTCGACGGCGGCCAGTGGGCGATCGATGGGCCAGCACGCGAGCAGCAATGGCAACAAGAAGCGGCCCATCTCGCCGGAGCAGGTGCTCCGCATGTTCGGCGCCACCCAGTCGTCATCAGTTCCTACGAGTAGCTACCACTACAGCAACGGCGGCACGCGGGATCGGGATCGCACCGGCAGGCGGAGCCCCGCCAGCAGTCCGCCCTCCACCACCCACCAGGTGGGTGTTCATAAAACACTTTTATATTCAATTAAAATAAAATCTCAATGTCTTCTTCTTTTCCAGATTTATCGGGATCGGGAGCGGGAAAGGGATCGCAGTGTCCCGAATATCCATGAACTTACAACGCGAACCGTTTCCATGTCGCGCGACCAGCAAATCGATCATGGTTTCGGCATTTGCGTTAAAGGAGGCAAAGACTCAGGTGAGTGTGTCTTCAATATATGAAGATCATATGGCTTATATGAAAACTCCACTGCAAACGGGCAACAGAATGTCCTTCCAGAAGGCTCTTAAAGCGAATTTAATTTAGCTATGCATCTGGCATGGTCAACTTGGCGTATACGTGATTTGAGAAACCAGGCTATGGAAATCAATTTTATTGCTTGGTAAATCCTGAGCATTTTAAACATAATTCGCTTCTTAATCTCGTGTTATTGGCTAATAGTAAATAAAGCAGAAACCATAAGCTCTGTTAAGCCCTGCGATTTGTCGGAAAAGCCTTCGCAACTGAAATTTCCCGACACTTCTCTGCCCATACAATCTGTCTGCTGCCACGCCCCTTGCTGTTTGATACCATGTTACGCCCAGTCGGTTTTGGGTGATGGCTTCTCCGTGTGCCCCGTTCCTTTGCGCATGGGAAGCTCTTACGTGCAATTTAGTTTTCAATTTCGTTTTATTGTCCGGGTCTCACGGAGCCGTGTGTCCGTCCCGTACCCGTTTGAGTAACCACGTGTATTGGCATGGATGTTTGTGTGTGACAAACCGCCAGCAGCTTTGACATTTCCAAGTGCATTTTGCACCTGACTACCTTTTTGGCTAACCAGCTCTTCCTGCCCGTTTTGCTACGTCTGTTTCCCTTCAACTCTTCCTGCCTTCATTCCCATTTCCTGCCGTTGAATTTATTTTTAGTTTGCAATATGCGGACGGCTTTAAAATCGATAAAAATCTATTTAAGTTGGCCCCCGTATGCAGGCTTCTCTTTTCAGTTCTTCTTCTCTTTACCTCGTCGCCATTGTGCACACTCTCATACATACGAACACACACACACACAAGTACAGAGAAACACACATAGTCACACAAGTGTTTTATAAATTAAACATAAAATGGCTGCCGCATTCCCTTCCTCAATCCACTGCAAAATGGCTGAGCTTAATGAAAAACAACGAAAAAAATGTTGAAAAATTGAAAAAACACAGAGGACCATGGGAGAATGCTCTGGGTAATTTCGGCCCGTGGTTCGGGAAGGGGCTTTATATTAAAAATTGAGTGTGTGAGCGGGCTGGCTAATTGATTTCCCCTCATCCACGCCCCCCTTTTGTTGTTTTTCCAGGCTTAGGCGTCTACATCTCACGCATCGAGGAAAATTCGGTGGCCGAGCGCGCTGGATTGCGACCCGGTGATACAATCCTAGAGGTGAATGGCACCCCCTTCACCTCAATCAATCACGAGGAGGCGCTGAAGGTGAGCATGCCACAAAATATTTACGCTCGCATAAATATTTATATCTCCTTTGATCTTTATTAAATATTTTGTAGTAGCTAATGTTATTTATACTTAGATCGAAGTCGATTAAAGCATACAGCAATGTGGGGTGGGAAGAAAAGGACCTCCGATACCCCAAATATTCAACTTAATTGAATTTTAACATGATTGCTATTTGACCTTGATAAAATCTTACGTAAATAATGAAAAATAAAATATTGTTCAAATTTAAAATGTACCTGAGAGGTATCCAATTAAAATCAGATTTTCGATTGCAATTCACTAGCAGAAGTTGCAAGTCAAAAAGGCAGAAATAAATGAAATTCTTTTTAGAGGCACGAGCTGTATTCACTGCTACGAATTTCCTTCTACTCCTCAGTTCTGTCTTTCGTTCGACCCTGACAGCCATGTCAAATTTTTCTTCTATCAAAAAGTATCTAATTTTATTGTACGCCTTATTGATTTTTAATGCGATTTTCCAGCCAGCCCGTGCTGGCATCGGCAGCCTCAGTTTGTCAATCGCTGGCTCTTAATAGTTGGCCATAATGGGGCTCTATCCATCAAGCATGCCCATATATGCACAAATATATTACATATATTTGTATGGACGTACAACGAGTAAACTGTATTCAGTAGGCCACCATCGTCTTTTATGGCCGACACTTGACAGAGTAACCAAAAGAAAAGCCTTTCCTCGGCCCTTCGATGGTGGCAGGCAGCTGCCTTGGAACGAAAGTCAATTTATTGTGGAATATTTTATGTGACACGTTATGATAGTCAATATAATTCATTCTCAAACATATTACTACATAGATGGCTGAAGGGACGAAGGCTTAGGTTTGGCACTAGATTGGCACATGGTGTGCCATTTCTCACGCTTTTGAGCAATTTAAACTTTAACCGATTTCGACAGAACTTGTTTGGGTACCCACACAATCAGGAAACATAAATATAAATGCAAATATATATGTACATATATATGTATATATGTATACCCCCTTCCTCGTATCGATTGCTGTCTGCTTTGAGCGATTTTTTGTAGTTGTTTCCTCTACAAGTATATAAATCTTTATGCACACGATACAGTTTTGTATGAATATTACTAAACCAAATACGAACATATATTTGAGAAAACCATGAAAAGAAAATCAATAATACACTAATACAAATATACACTGAGAAAAAATTGGCAATAGATTAGTCGCATTTTGTATCAGAATTTTGTTAGTATATTTTATTATTTGTTTAGTACGCTTTATTTACACACTTTTAGTTGGTAGTTTCTGTTGACCGACTGAAAGGACTGACATTTCTGCAAACATAGTAGACAGCTCGCATTTATTAAATTTAAAATTCCATAAGTTGCCACACATCCTTTTAACTAGAAAACTGAGCTGAAAAGCATATCACAACATATTTACATCCTTGCTGGATGTCAAAGAATTCAACCACAAATGCCTATGATGCTGCACTTAATTCTGATATAATCCTTATTCATTTATTAAAAATAAGTGCAGTTGGGTGAAAAGCCCACCGCAAGTCGAAAAATTAGGACTTCAACCGAACCTGCAAGCCCCTAAAAGCAGGCAACACCTGTGAGGATTCACAGACCAATTTGCACAAAGCACCCGCACATAGCCCCTTTCTCCATGGACCAACACAACTTTTGCACATTCTCACATTAGTTTTTTGGTCGGAAACAATTAAAATAATGACAGCAAATTGTGGCAAGCTTCACTGAGAACAGACAACAAAATCAGACCGCAAAAGCGCGCCGACAAATGAAAGTCAGGCGAATTTTGGGGTGGTATTTCGAGTGACGAACACGCCCACAGTAAAAAAGTTAATTAATAATATCGGAATATCGGAAAATTCTGGCATCACGTTACGTACACGTTTTTTGTCCAAGCAATTGGCGAATTTGCATATAATTTTGTTAATTTTCATTTAGTATTTTGCTCCATTTTCCCACTCTCTCTTCTCTTGTTGGTTCGTTACTTTCTGCTCGCATCTGTCCTCTCTTTTTTGTGTCTCTTCTATTGCCACATTTTTTCTTAACGCAGAGATGTGTGCAGATACTGAAATCGTCACGTCAAATCAGTATGACGGTGCGAGCGCCGCCCACTCTGAACTCGACCGCCCCGCTCCACGGATTCGGTCCGCCCTCCCGCGACCCCATGTACGCGTCGATGGCTCCCCCCCTGCACCCACAGAACCAGGCGGCAGCGGCAGCAGCGGCGGCGGCGGCCTCCGGGGCGGGTCTGCCCTTCCGCCAGACCTGCTCCTGGATGGACCGCCACGGACGACCCGCCTCCCCGCCCATGGAGTACGGGGGCAGGCGCAGCGAGCGAAGGGATCGGTGAGTACATAGGATACATAGTCATAAATATCGAACAAGCCCTCTTCAAAAAATGCCTAGCCACCCAACAGAGGTGGAAATATCACCTTCACTACTATACTATACTGAAGATCCAATAACTTAAGCTTGGAATAATATTCTATAACTTAAGCCACCCAACAGAGGTGGAAATATCACCTTCATACTACTATACTATACTGAAGATCCAATAACTTAAGCTTGAAATAACATTCTGTAACTTCCTCGAAATATTCATAGTATTTTGGATTCAGTATCTTATCTTGAGATAAGAGCAACTCTTATTTTACTTGTTAAAGAAAATGTTAAAAACTTTAGAGTCCGGTAAACTAAATAATTGAAAAAGGTCGTTCTGAGGATTATAGGGTATGCCTTTGAAAATGCCCCCTACTCCAAAAGAATGTCGCCTCTAGCTTAACATCTTAGTTAACATCCTAACACCCTATACCCATTAGAATACGTCGTGTGGAGCTGCTGATAGAGCCGGGCCAGTCTCTCGGACTGATGATCCGTGGCGGCGTGGAGTACGGCCTGGGGATCTTTGTCACCGGCGTGGATAAGGACAGCGTGGCGGATCGATCCGGACTGATGATTGGCGACGAGATCCTCGAGGTCAATGGGCAGTCCTTTCTCGATGTGACGCACGACGAGGCGGTGGGTCAGTTGAAGTACCACAAGCGCATGTCGCTGGTGATACGGGACGTGGGCAAGGTGCCCCACTCCTGCACCTCCATCGAGATGGAGCCCTGGGACGCGTACAGTCCAACGGGCACACGGTGGGTCTCGACACAGCTGAAATCTCTTTTCCATTCTACAAGATCGACCTTTGGCCTTACAGAGCACGCCGAAAAGGTCAAATTGCGACCATGGTGGAGGAGAAGGCGCGCTCCCTGCTGCCCCGTCATCACTTTGCAAGCCTTTCCTACTATATTGCGGAATATAGTGCGAAAGCAATGACCATAGATGCCTTTGTTGCCGTCTTGTTAGAGATGTTAGATACGTACGAAAAGGTGAGTTTTTATAGTCTAAGAAAAAGAGCATTTAAGCTAGGGAAACTAATATATTTACATCAATAAATTTCCCATTGCAGCACACGCTAGTGACGGAAATACGGGAATTAGTTTTCCCCGAGGATCGCACGCGATACGATGAGCTCGTCTATCGCAGAGAACGCGATCCTTATAGCGTGGATAGGCATAGGGTAAGCCCAATCATCGCTATGCCCAGTTAACCCCTATGTAAACTTTATAATCTTTTACAGCGTAAGGGAGACCCCGCCCGTGATTTGCCGGTAAGCTTTTTAGAAGATTTATTCTACGACACAGACACAATATATACTTAGTTAAGAGGGAGACACTTCTATATCCCACAAATACACACTGAGCATGTTCAGCCAAATAAACTCTAACTATACTTTGACTGCTGTTCAACCGGTCAACTGTCTACTATTCGTCTATATATCTACTCTACTACCTATACTATATCTTACACAAAGTGTTTATTGTTTAGTATATCTTTCTCTTCTTGTTGTTGTCGTTGATAATTGTTGTCACTGTATGTTTGTAACTTTTACTTTAACTTATTTGTTCCAACTGTAGAAAAATACAAATAACACTCGACAAAAGAAAATCAAAACAAAACTTGTAGTTTAATTGTTGAACGAGATACACTTGATACTTTCTATAGCCACCCAACTCTAAACCAGTTATTGCTTCTTTCATTTCCCAAATTTTTGCATGTAATTTTCTTTTATTTATTTTTGAGAAAGCTTTCAGAAACTCGCTTACATCTGATTCGGCCCTTTGCAAGTAAAATTGCATTTCAAAACAAAAACAATCAAATCGAATGTCAATTTTTCCAAACAATACCCACATACATACAATCTTACTCTACATTGTAGTGGCGAAGTTTCTACATATTTTATAGCAATAAGAAGAGGACCGTTTGTAAAATTATGTAATTTAAGCAAAAATGAAAACAAATCGGTCATAAACATTTCTTCATGGAAATTCAACGCAATTTAATTATTTTCCAAAGTGCAGTTGACTCCAAATGAGCCAAACTGTGGTTGTACATACGGAATACAAAAAACTTAGCTGCTTTGATAATGGGGTATGACAAGGCTCAGCCTAATAGTAATCTTTAGATTTAGTACACTAATTAAGTAATAAAATTATTGTATAAATCAAATTGATCTCATGTAACCCCACGTTAAAAATGCACTTAAAATGGATAACCAAGAACCACAACAGTCACCATGAATCAGCACCAATATAAAATACAAATCAATTTACATATCTACCGATCGAAGTACGAATGCACTCCCAATCACTCTATCTTTGTCGCTCTACCTTAGACGCTATCTCTCTCTCGCTCTCTCTTCATCTCTCTGTCTATGCTCGGTAGAATTCTACGGAAGTCTAGATTAGAGCCCCTCTCACTCTCACTCTCACTCACTGTCAAACCTTTCAGCTGTCACTGTCTCACTCGCAAATCGTATGCAAGCCAAATCGTTCGTTTCGTTCCATTCCGTACCATTCCGTTCCGTTCGCCAACAGGTAACAGCCGACGATTTGGAAATAATAGCCGCCACCGGACGGAGTCCTTCGTCGGACTCGGGCCTGGGCATGACCGTAACGGATATACATAAACGGTACCTAGCCACTTACCCTTAATCCATGTTATCCCATATCCCAAAAATCCCCTCCTGAACAGTGTTGGATAGGGTAGTAGTAGTTTCCAAAGATTCACAAAGGCTTATCCAACATTACCATAGTGTGCAGGTAAAAAGGTAAAGAACTCGAACTTTGCTAAGAGCTTATAGAACTAAAAATGCTTTTATTATAATTCGGAGCTATAACAATTTAAGAATTATCATTGTGTGAAGTCAATTCCGAACGAATTGTAAGTAATATACTTAGTTTTATTAGGAAAGAAGTTATGTTGATGTATAGGGATTTCCCAACACTGACCCCGAACCACCCACTTCCCATCATAACAGTTAACTGACCTGTGTATATGTGTACGCTAGACCCGCACTACAGTTGCCCCATCGGCCCATGTCGGCGGGACCCATACTGCATCGCTCACAGCCAGCATCACATTATCAGACAGCCAGCAACCAGTCCTCATCATCATTGTCGCCTCCACAACAACAACAGCAGCAGCAACAACACTATCCACCCCACCATGCCTCATTGCGTCATCTGGGCGGAATCGGCGGCAGCGTGGGATCCGGTCGTCATCACCACCAGCCGTTGGGACCAGGTCTATTGAAATTCAAGCAGGCCAAACACAATCAGCAACAGGTCAGGACCGAAGCGAGTCGCGCGTATAGGGTAGCAAGCCACCACTTAAAGTCTACTTTCACTGTTTCGCAAGCTGTTCTATTCTAAAAATGTAGATCTTCCAAAGATACCTACTTCGAAACATTCGTATCTAGGCTCTTTGATGAAAATTACTTGATGAGTCTTCTGAGAAAGTTTCCGCTTTATTTTCTAAAAATATTTTTTGGCACCGAAATTTGTACCTTGCCAATATGCTGTATTTTAAGTTTTTCTAAGCTTTGATTAAAAAAAATTGACATTCGGCTGGTAACATCGCCGAGTTTTGAGATTTCCAGCTCTCGTCTGTCTGTTGTATATGTTTTGTCTTATTTTGTATTTTTAGTGGTTTTATGTCTCTGTCTATCTGTCTATCTACTTTTTGTATCTTTGTCACTCGTTGTATGTAACGTCTTTGTCGTTTTTTATACGTTTGAATCTTTTTCCATGTTTGTCCAACTGCTCAATGTGGTTGATGTTTGCGTTTTTGTCTCTGTTTCCGGTTATGTTGTACTTCCTTATTAAATGTTGTCCAATTGGCTATTGAGTGTTGTAATAGTGTTAAGTCGCATTTAGACCAGTGCCAAACCGAATTGGCCGTCGAGCAGAGAAGCACATAAGCCGCTGAAAAATGTATCTTGTAAATTCTTTTATCCCGGCTTAGGAATACGGCTGTGATGAGCACAGAACTCGCCGGGGCAGCGAAACCCTTTTACCGGAATACGAACCAGATGCGGTGAGTAAGCGAGTCGATCGCGAATTTGTCGTAGGATCTGATATTTCTGGGGATTAAATATTATAGTTTATAAATAGTAGAGCAACTGATTAACCACATAGTTCCAAGTAACACTCTCAATAATTCATTTGCTCATGCCATGAAGTTTCATTTCATGATCAGCACTCTTATTTAAGAACCCGCCTTATGAAAAAGCTCCATTTTTGTATACTTTAATTCTTTGTATCTGCAACTGTATCTGTATCTGTTTCTATCGTACGTTAACTAAACTAACAGCTAGACTTAAGCACTATCCTAAGTAGGTATCGTATATTATGTGGGTTATGCAGCATGTTTGCCCAGCCAGTGAGTGTGGGTCCTTCTCACATCTTGTCGTGCATGGAGGAGCCCTCGGCCACCATGGGCAGATGGTAATCGCGTGGCGGCGTAAAGGGTCGCACAAAGTGTCGCCACTGACGGTGGTGCAGGGGCGGGGGCGGCTGGATGGGCGTGGCACCGCCGGCTGTCACCGCATGATGGTGCTGCTGATGGCAACTGTTGGGCTCAAATTTCGGGCGTGGTATGCGCAACTGTTTGATCTCCGTCAAATAGGTCTCCATGTTGTTCGCTCGTCGCCTGTTGATGTTTGATTTTGTTTAAATGATTTGTTGGTCTTTGGCAAAGTTGCAATCAGTGTGGAGTGGACTTTGTTTGAGGGTTTGACGTTGCACTCGTTGGCAAAAAGTCAGGGAAAATAAATAAAGGAACTGCGTGGCTTTTCCAGTCCCCCAGTAAATTCAATTTAACTAACACATTATGCTGATAAATTGAATTAAAGCTAATAATTTAGAGCTCAGCTCTACGTTACTGCAGCTTATAGATCAGCGTGTTGTCTTAATTGATTGCTTTAAGTCAAGCCTTTAATATTTATTAGTATTTCAATGTTATAATATTTCTTAGTAAAAATGGTTTTAAACTTATATTCGAAGCGGAGTAACTTTAATAGTTTCAAAAGACTCAAGAATGTAATTGCAAAGACAACGCAGTTAAAACTCGTTGAAACTAGCTAGAAGTGCAGGGTAATGAAAAACTATTTTTATGTGCAGCTAACTTCACTTATGCACTTAACTTCTTATTTGAGTTAGAGCGAAAAGACGAGCTCTTCAATCTTTTGATGAATGTTTCCCCTGCGCGCAAACTTCACCGGGCACCCACAACTTGTTGAGTAAGTGCAGCAAAAGTGAAAGTAAACCCACCGCCAAAACCCCAATGTACGGTGGTGCGGTGCTATGTGTGTTCGGCTAGAAGACAAGACAAGAAAATTGCAATAATTTCCGCAAAAGGCGTTCAACCGTATCACATGCAGACAGTCAAGTTCAGGGCAGGATTTTGGATTGCAGTTCGCAAGAAATTGATTTGGATGGCTGTAGCAGCGGAGAGTAGCTGTATGAGTAGCTGTAGCTAAACGGCTGGCGATCCGCTTGCTTAGCCCTGTTTACACAGCTGACACCATTTGGGCCGGCTTGACCGACCGACCGACCGATGAACGATGAACGATGGCCAATGGACTGGCGTACTGTCGTACTGGAAGACTGAAAGACTGGATGACTGGATGACTGGAGGACGGACCAGGGCCAGACGGCAGCAGCTGAGTAACCAGTTTGATTTCAACTACAACTGACAAACAACTTTTTGTTGGATGTCGCTTGTCTGGCTTATGGGACACTCACTTTTTCGAAATTACAGGGAATCGACGGACTCGGGGATAGAAATCGAGGTGGGGAGATGGGTAGATGGGTAGATGGGGAGTTCGGGCCAGAGCAACGGCCAAGACCAAAAGCTCGAAGTGGGTCATTAGAGAAATGTACTAAATAAGGTACAAAACTTTGTCAAGAGCAAACGTAAATGGAAAGTAAATTGTTGTAGCTGCAAGTTTTCGATCCAAAAGCAAGTAACGGAGAAGTTGTTGTTTATAGTGTAAATAAACCATTTGGATGCGTAGCGAAAACCAGTCTGAAGAATCTGAAAACAAAAACAAAAACAAACCCAAATCCGGTCTACAAATTCAATGGGTGTCAAATATAATTATGAGATTGAGCCCAGTCGGTAAACTGTCAGTTTGAAGACATGTCTGTCAATAGAGAACACTCTTACCCATCATAATGAGAACCTTAATTGTGGCAAAGGGGCAGGGAGGTGCGAAGTCTCGAATCTTGATTAACTGTTATGACAAACTCTTTTACGTCTATCCATTATGTTGTTTTAGCAATCCGGACAGCCCGTCATCTTTTGACATTATTAATTATACTTGACTGGGTTCCCCGGTGGCTACATAATTATGCTACTCTTTAAATACTCTTTAAAACTGTTCGTTAGCCCAGGGAAACGTTCTAAAGACATCGAATTTCGCCTTAGTATAAGCTATGTTTTGAAAACTAACATTCAGTTATTAAAACTGAAAACATTGTTTTATTTCACAAGATTTTTATGATTAAACAAATTAATATACACTGTTACACAATCAATATTGGTTAATGGCTAATAGCATAGCCTTGCGACATTATCTTTTATTGCATTCCATATCTTTTGACAGTTGACAGTTTTTGCAAGCCCCAATATTATTTGAATTTAAAAACCATAATTTGCTCGACCTTGCAACGGCATTACTAAAATCCAGCTTTACTACTGAATTGCGTTCGGAAACTCCATCGATTTGGTTGACCAACCAGTGCTGAACGCCGATCGCCCCCACCCTCCTCCGCTGAGTATCTAATGACAAAGAGGAGGCCCCGCAGTTCCCCAAATCCCCCAGACTCCGAGTGAACAACGAGGTCAATGGCATGTGCTATGAATGATGATTGCCAGCTTTTCGATTCGAGTTACAAAAATGAGCTACTACATAGCAATAGCTATGGCTAAAAAAACATCATCAAATACGACAACAAATCTTCGCTGCAAAGTTTGCAAAGTCATAAATTTGATTGATTTTGAAATGGTTGCCCTGAGCAGCTTACCAAAAGAGGCAAAAAAAAAAAATATATTTGAACAAATTGGGAGTAAAATTGCCCGAAAATGATGTGCGTAGGGAAAATACAGTTAAATGGGCTGACATCTGGCAATTGACTGAAAGTTTCCATTATTGTGTGGAAAATTCTCTTTCTCTGCTGTGAAAGTTGTGGTTCCCGGTTTAAAAAAAAGCTGAACTTGGAGTTGTTCCTTTGGTTCTGGTGAAATTTTTCTCGTTCTTTCAGTCGGAACCTTTTTTGTTAACTTTTTCATAAGTTAAACAAAAGGCGAACATTTAAATTGTTGTCTAATTCACACTATTGTTATGCCAACGATGAAGTCAGACAGGCCTGAGATCAGAGTTGAGTTCTGTGCTGTGACACTGGATATGAATAATTGTGTTCACATTTTGGGCTAGCTCATTGACCTATAAAGAAACTGACAGCTGACCGAATGTCTTGGAATAATTTATCAAATCTCTGGCTCCGAATTTGACGATCGTCTGTGATGTGAAGTGGGTCAAAGTTGGCTAGAATCGATTGGTTAACCGAAACCAATTTTTATGAACTCATGAAGCGTGATCTCTTTGTGAACATCCGGAGCAATCTCCATTAGGTTTCTCCTCGGAAAAGGGGTATTCGTATTTATGCTTTTTGTAATGGCAATTACTTGAGTCAGTTGTCAGTGCCCTTAGGCCCAAATGACTCTGAAAGGCTGTCTAAAAAGCCATTAAAAGCCTTTCGTTCGTTGGTTCTGTGTTTTTGCGAAGTGTTTCTAGCCAAGCGTTTTGGCTTTCCCTACAGCTGACAGGCGATGGTTTTTCTGGGTCGAAATGTTTAGCAACTATTTCGCAGTCTTACCACCTAGAATCCCCCCATTTCCGCAAGGTAACATAATTGCAAAAAAGAAAGACAACAAATCAGGCGAAACCGCTGTCTGACTGCGTCTTAACTTCATTCTGGCAATTAAAAAAAGTAACAAAGGAAATTGGCTCAGCCGAAAAAGGTGAGAAATAGAAGTTAATTGAATGCAAAACTCAAAGCAATAAAACAGTTTCGCCTGCCAAAAGGCAGTGATGATATAACCAACCACAGAAGAGCCAGACCAAACTTCTGCTACCATTATTATGTATGCAACAAATTGGGCAGCAAACAGAGCGCGAAATGTAACGAAACGCGAGATTTGTCAACTCCACTGGCAACTTGTTTCTCGTCCAATTTAAGCCTCGTAATACGCACTTTTAGCTGATGCTTGTTGGCCGCACAAATCGGTGTTAACGTATATTCCTCCCTCTGATGACTGGGATTTCAACCTCACGCTCGAAGCGACGACGCGCGACTGAAACTGCAGACTTCTCTGAAGGTAGAGCTGCGGCGGAGTCCATAGTTTCTGCTGCTGCTGCTGCTGCTGCTGCCCGGTTGTAGTTGCTCATGTTGCTGCTGTTGTTTCTGCTGCGATTGCTGCCAAAAGCCAACCAAGTTGACGATGCCCAGCCAGCCGCAGCAGCAGCAGAGTTACTCTATTTTGGCAGAGTCGTGGGCAGATCGTACATGGTTTGACCAAAACTTGAAGAGGCCTTGTGAACAGCTAAAAATAGTTGAGCTTCTGCAGCTAACTATCATCTGAAGTCAAACGAGAAGCCTAAACTTGTGTAACAAAGTTCTGTAGCAGTGGCTGGCTGTACCTCTGAATCAAAAACACTAATTTCGCTATTAGAATAAATATGTTAATTATAAAACGGTATTAAAAAGGTAAAGGCAATTAACAATCAATGGCTGCAAAACTAATTTAATTAACGCTCAGATTTATAGAATTGCTTATTGACAATTCCAATAAATATTTTACTAACTTGAAGTGCTACTATTTCACGAATAACATAACTTTAAACCAAAAATAAGTGAATTTATATTACATTATATACCTATATGTTAAGATATGGTTCCTTTAATAATTTATTTACTTATACAACTCAACAAAACTTAAATTCAGACACTTATTACTGCAAGCGTTTGACTTTGCTAGAGCATTTTTGAGTTGGCTTGGCATATGCATATTTTCCGTCTTGGGGTTTTATTGTTGCGTTAAGTTTTGCTTTCTTTGACGTTTTGCCACTGAACGTTTTCCCAGTTACTTTTTATGGCCTAGTAATGTAAAAAATTACCCACAGCGACGACAGAAACAATGGCAGCCGATTTGATAAACAAAGATTGTCAATATTTATGACTAAAAATTGTACTGCAATTATATCGCCAAGATTTATGTACGAGTACATGCTGTAAGTGCGAGTGTAAGAGCGCGATTTACGCAATGCTCAAACTAGAGTGACAAATAAATAACGTGTATCTGTGGGATACTGCAGCTGCCATGCACTGCAGCTGTGCTGCGTTTTCGGTTTCCTTCGGCCACTGATATTTTTTGTGTTTCTCTATGTTTACCAATTTGGTTTTTTTTGTTTTGCTCGAACATGACGTAAACGGAAAATTTGTCATTTCTGCCGACTAACTCTGGGCAGCAGTTGATGGCCAGAGTGGCGTTTGCATTTGGCATTGAAAAGAGATGAAGCTCATTAGCAGCTAAGCGGCGATAATTAATTTTCCTTTTTTTGGCTTTCCATCTTCTTTTTTCGCCACCGTTACACGCTGCGTATGCGCAATGGACTGCAAATCGCATTAATGGCGAACAGGAACAGGTAAGCTCGATGTTTTGCTGCATTCGCCGTTTGTTACACTTTAAGCACTTTCCGAAACTATCTTTTCGACACTCACACGCACACACACACACACACACACACACACACACACACAACCAAATGCCAAACACACACAACACATACACATATATAGACACCAAATAAATATACATACATACGTACATACTTAACAAAGGAAAACCAATAAGGAAGCAAGCGTAACCAAAATGCAACAAAACCTCTTGTAAATATTTAGCCCGCTACTCTGTTTTAAGCCATTCTCTAACTAATTTCGCCGCTGGTGATTCGTGTGCATAATTTTCCAAATGCAAGAGGTGGGAACGTGAACGTGGGCGTATTGCAGCCCCATGCAACGGAGCTTTTGAGAAGATTACCTCACAAAGTTTTGATATAACCAAAGCTAATTAGCAATTGAACGCGTTTTAGTAGGCGTAGGCATAGACTAATCCGCGATTGCTCACTTGTGCAAAGGAAATTCCAGTTGAAGCCGAAAAGTATGCTTTAAAAGTATACGCCACTTTCAGCCCGGCCAGCAACATATGTAGCCCAGCTGGCTTATCAACATGATGCCAAGCAGCATTGGTTGCACAGAGCTATCGAGAAAATGTAGAAAGTTCTTTAGTATTTATATTTAAAAACATTACATTTGTATGAGTAAACTAGCTGCTATAGAAATATATATAACAATGTAATATTACCTATAACTGCAGTAGCAATTGTAAAAATAATCTGATTTAAAAACATAATCAAACCCATATCATGGTTAAGACACTAGGTATTCGATTCCAATAGTAAATCTAAGTAGTTATGGTTCAGTAACAGTTCAAAAAGTAACATATAACCTCCCGTATTCTTCTACTTCTTATCCAGTAACAAACTTCAAAGTAGCTTGACTAGCTTTAAACAAACTATAACCTAGGAACCCCACAAAAAAGACCCACAAATCCTCCTATTTCTTTATCTCTTTAAAACCAAGCACACTGATTTTTCCCCCCTGATTTTCACTCGAGTTTCTCATTTCACCCGGCGCCCTCACAACTTTTGTTATACCACCATCAGAGATCCATTGAATTCAGATCGTTTTTGAGTTCGTGAGACTTCCGTGACCTCTTGTCCCGTACTTCCCGAAATTGTTCTTGTTTGTTCATTTGTGTGCATTTCAGGGCGGCTACTTAGATGGACTGCGTTCACATTTGGGTGGTTTAACACAACGTGTCAAATCATGGTATTGGGGACGACCTCTAGTAAGTGCCAATGTATTTTTCGTTAAACGTTAACAAACGAAAACAAACCAAATACCTAATAATAAAACGACACCAGCAACCACAAAATAGAAATTGTGTTCGCAAGTTGAGTGGATTCATTTTTGTCTGCGAAATGTTCTCACAGTCTGCATTTTGTTTTTCTTTTGGAACAGACCTTTCAATTTGCATCTCGTTGCATTCAATTTAGCCTGAACTACTTAGTATTGTTGCTATCACTCTCTCACTCGCTCTCTATCTCTCTCTATCTCTCTGTAACTCTGTCTCTCTCTATTAAATAACTTAATTAACTTAACCGTTTTTGAATGTGCATTGCAACGAAAGCCACTGCAAGTGCCATAAAAATAAACAAAATTAAAAGATTGTTTTTATTGAATTCGGTTGCATATCCAGCATTTTGTGTTGTATTCGTAGGAAGTGTAATTTAGTTTTGTGCTCTCATTCCAAATCAAATTTTGCTTGACCCACAAGTTAAACAACATTATTTTCCATTGTGTATCGTTTTATTTTATTTTTCGTGGCGCACTCGAAAACTTTTCATATAGATTTCCTTAGTCTCTTTTTGTAAAGTAATTGTCAATGTAAGTATCTTAAAACAAAAGCTAAACAAGACACAAGACTAAAAATCCAACAATGCATTTAAAAGCAAAAGGTCAAGCCTTCAAGACAAAAAACGAACAAAAGTGAAAACTAAATAGAAAACCAAAAAAAAAAAAAGAGAAAAGCTTGAAAAATACATTTGCACATTTACGCATGAGTCACCCCGATTTCTAAACACACGCAAATATCAATATCCGTTCAGCATCAAATAAATTGGTCTTGGTTCACCGCCAGCCATGATTCACCAATAATTCACCACTCACACATCGATTTGTAGTGTTCTTACCATTTCTTTTCATTTGCCCTGTAATTAGTGTAAATCCCGATTTATGTTGGCCTTTATTTTAGCTGCTGCTCCCCCCACACACACACACACAGAATAACACCACACACACGCACCAAAATCCTAGTTGTAGTTGGCAGCTCTTAGTCCTGTAATATACTCGTAAGTTGAAGTTCAAGTTTTAGTTAGCGCTACATTTGGCCCCAACTAGTCCGACTTAGTCTAGCTACCGAAATCTAAGTGTCTTAGTTGCCAAATCTAAACATTAGCTTTTATAAATAGATTGTATATTTACTGTATAGTTGCAAAGCCTTAAATTGCACCAACTCAATGACCAACACAACCCAGCCACACAGACAAATTCCACAGAAACGCACACAGCACTCGCATACTCATAATTGCACTTTGACCTCAGCTTTGATCAAGATTCAATTTAGGTGGAAAGCCGATTAGTCTTCATTGTCCAAATCACTTTCATCGACTGCTACGAATGGTACGACTTAAGTGTTGATTATCAAGGTGCTTTCGGCACAAAAATATCTGAAGTCGTCTACGATTGCCACCTTTGTATGGCTAGCTTGAAAATTAATCAAATTATTTTATTTGATTCCGGATTGATTCATTCAAGTGTTTTTAGTATTCTTACTATCTTGCGCCTTCGTTTTCCGATTAAAGATACACTGCACTCCGCAGTGACAAAACTGAAAAACCACTGGCAAGCCAATCGAGCAATCAAGCTTACATCGACGGATAATCCAATATGGTTAGAGGTAACCAAAAAATGCAAAGCAAAGAGGAAAAATAGATGAAAGCTCTGCAATTCAAAGCAAGTCAGCTTGGCTCAGCTCAGTTCAGCTCAGTTTAGTTCAGTTCAGCTCAGTTCACTTCGGATGCCAATCGATATCCACAATCTCTGACTGTCACCATCTCTATCTCTATCTCTTTCTGAAGCACGCTTTGGCATATGCTGTCCCACCGAAACCACCCATCCACCGACCCGAAAACAACCCCACCACTCAATTTAACCCACCGTATAGTCAAATGTCATACTTTATTCAATTAAATTTCTATCTGTATGTTTGAAAGTGAGCGCGTACCCAAGCAAACAGCAAACACTTTCTAAAGCGTCTACAATCAAGAACTTAAAATATATATTCTAACCATATCACACACGCAAGCAATACAGTCTACCAAGAAATCTACAACGTTTTTTAATCTCTACTACAAGCAACTACAACGAATTCTTATGCAATTATCTCTACTATTTTCATTTTACATTCAACTTATTGTACGACCAAAAATCAATCAAATGTTTGCTCACTATGCAAAACCCAAAAAATACAAACCAATTCATTGCCAAAATACATTGTGGCCACATATTTGAAAACCGTAACCGAAACCGAAACTAAATTAAATGAATAGGAGTTGGCCACAAAACTCTCAAGAAGTTTCGATATGAAGGAAGAAGGCGGCACATTGCTGGGCGATAAAGGTGTACGAAGGCATCAGGTGAGTGCTACTCGAAAATAGTGCAAGCACACTAAATTAAATCAGATATCTACAAATAATAATAACTGAATACAGCACTTGAATGCCAAAAAGAGAAACCAATATAGGTTTCAGCTCGAAATTAACAGAGTTAATATCTTATCATAAGACTTTCGTCGGTTTTTCTATTAAATTCTATACGATTCGGTCACCCCAGAACATTTCATGATTCATTCCAAACAAATCACACAAAAGTTTCTACTTTCTATCTCTCTAATTCTCTTTACCTAACTCCAAAATAAACAGCAACTGTACCATTGAATATTTTTAACTAGCAATATACTATGTAAATTTGAATTGGCCTACCTTTTCATAGCTTGAACCGTTTCCTATTGTTTGAACCACACGTAAATAAGTACAAGAACCCAAAACAATATATACAAATTCCTTGAATCAACCAATTGTTAAATTGCTTGCCTTTACCAAATCACAGAATCTACCTTATCAGCTTGAACCAAGTTACTTTTAATCAAACCAATACACAATTTGAACTGTAAGCTAATCTTAGATTTAAGGCCAATGGAATATTTTTGACCAAGCCGGGCAAACCTACTGAAATCTCGAATATCTAGCTTAAAGTTTTATTTTCATGAAATTGGCCTATTTATTTTACAGTCCATGCAGCGTCTGTCAGCGGAGCAGAATGGTGGTTCAACGACTGAACAAACACATGAACACAATCCAAACGTCGTACCTGATCATAGAGGCAACTTACACATTACAGTTAAGAAAACCAAACCAATTTTAGGTATTGCTATCGAAGGTGGTGCTAATACAAAACACCCGCTCCCTAGGATAATCAATATCCATGTAAGTGTGCAATAAGTCAAAAAATCACATTTGAGACTCAAATGCTTGGCAAATAGGAAAATGGTGCAGCATTTGAAGCGGGCGGCCTCGAAGTCGGACAACTCATCCTGGAGGTGGATGGAACCAAAGTGGAGGGTCTACATCATCAGGTAAGCCACATTAAATGTTAGCCCCTCATTGCCCGTTGGAGGTATTAATATGACGATTTTATTTGATTTGCCAGGAGGTTGCGCGACTAATAGCCGAATGCTTTGCTAATCGTGAAAAGGCTGAAATAACCTTCTTAGTTGTCGAAGCAAAAAAATCAAATTTGGAACCGAAGCCGACGGCGCTGATATTTTTAGAAGCCTAACATTTGCTTGCCCTGCCGGCCAGTGACCCATTGGAACGACAAAAACTCGAGTTCCTTTACGAATGGGGCATCGATTTAACAGAGACGCCAAAACCAATGCCAACACCAATACCGCTAACGAAAGCCAAGAATCCGCCGCCACTGCCCCATGAGATGCACAACAACATCAACACCCAGTATGGCAGCAGTGCGGCGCTCAGCAATCATCAACCTCATCAGCATACGCATCCACATCCCCAGCAGCAGCAGCAGCAGCAGCAGCAACATTCGAACACAAAAACACCCAACACGAACAACAGCAACACACAAGCAACACCAACAACGGGAACGGGAGCAGCAACAGCTGCCAGCAAACAACAACAGCAACCGGGAAACACCACCAACACACCAACGAAGGCGTCGCGTGAGGCAACTCCCACAAGGGAGCAGCATCAGCAGCATGCCACGCCCACACGCGAGCACCAGCAGCAAACGCCCACGCGCCAGCAGCAACTGCAACGCGAACAGCAGCAGCAACTGCAACGCGAACAGCAGCAGCAACACCATCGCGATAGGCAGCAACATTTTCGCGAACAACGCGAACAACGCGAGCGGGAGTACCAACACGAACACGAACAACACCACCATCACCACCGTGATCACCACGAGCAACACCAACACCAACACCAACATCCACACCAACAACAACACCAACATCACCCCCACCAACAACATCATCATCAATATTCATCCGGATCACAGCAGCAACACCAACGCTACAGCAGCAGCAACAACTACAAATCTCATAATAATTCCGTTTACCAGTAAGGAGAAACCGAATGCAATTCTAGCAATTGGAGCAACAATAACAATTTTTTGGATACATTCTTTCAAAACTGCTACAGCAATTCGATCAGTAAACAGTTTAATTGTGCTACCTTTGTTCAAACAACCGAAGACCCCCGCCCCTCATGCACGCCTCTTTCTACACTGAACACAACGCGCTTGACAGAATATACGAAATTTACCCCAAAATTCCCTGGCTACATCCGATTACTATTGAGTTATATGGATCACCATGTATCGCTTGACTAGGCCCTTCTAGTAATGTGTTAATTTGTTGTAGCTGAAGAGATGCTCTGACCAAAAAAAATATACATATGATTTAAGAAAGTTAAGTCTATAAGGCTTAGACCCGTAAAAACAAATATTTTTTCCTATCAATTTTTTTTTTGTAATATTAAAACAGTTTCTGGAATATCAAATGCAAAATTTTAACACTGCCAAGGTTAAAGAAAAATGTTGAAAATAAAATAATGAAAAATATGAGCATCTCTGTCCAACTTGGCTTTCCGTTCTATATCCATAGTGTAGTATATGGCTCCCCCAAAACTGTCTTTATATCTATTGAAACCAAGAACCACTCCGATCCTCAACTAGAATAACCAGAGAGAAGACCTATCCAGACCTTAGGCATCCTGATCCTAAGACCCTCTATTGAACCACGAACCACGCGCTAGTCGAAAAATGTGTAAATCTGTGTAAACTGTAAAACATATTATTGTATGATTATTATTATTATACTATTGATTATCAAGCGAGCAACGTAGCTTAGACCGTTAGTCATTACTTGTTTGAACTAGTGACAAGACAAGTTTAGGTTCACAAATTACTGTAAGAGCAATGTTATTTGATGATAAACCCACAAAAGCCCCCAAGAAAAGCAACCACAACCGAATAAGGCATACACTAAGAAAATCAAGAGCTTAAAATGTTAAAAATGAACAAGTTAAATATCTAAAAATCCCCTAAACAGTAAGCAAAGAAAAAGTCGATGCAGAGAAAAAATGATGAAACAAGATTTAAGGCACAGGCACTGTAAAATGTAAAAATAACCAGCAAACTAGTAACGAATGTCGCTTTTGTTAGATTCAAACACACACTAAGACACACGAATACACGCATGCACGGCACACACACATACACACGCATGCATATTGCCAAATTGATTGTATTTACATTTTTACATTTACAGCAGCTAATTGAACAAACGCAAAAGATCAACAACAAACAAAAATGAAGCCCACCTAAGCAAAAGATAATTTGTAAAAATTAAAAAATAATCTTAAAATTAAATCACCAAAATGTAAAAAGCTATGAATATATATAAAATGAAGCAAGCAGTAGCTATGGCCACAAAAACACTCACACAACAACACTTACACCAGCACCCACTCAGAAACACTTAGCCCAAAAAGCGCATCTATTCTAAATTTTAACCAAGATATCAAATTATATACCCGCAGTGTTGTTAGGTTAATCGCCATTTTCGTCGACTGAAGTTCTATCATATTTCGAGAAAATTAATTATCGACAACCTTTACAGTTCTACGATTAAATCGATTATTTCGATCAATCTGACAACACCGCAAGGCATATCCCTGTTATTAGTACAACTTAAACTGCACACTGCACAATTTTTGAATGTTTGTTAAATGTTTTAAGGAGCAAAAGACCGACACCAGGAAAATCCGCTGCAAAATTGTATTCTCCTCACCAACTAACTAGGGAAGGATCCTCGCACCCCAAAACAAACCGATCCCAAAACGCAACTCCAACCCAGAAAAATGGTAAACGAATTATGATACTGCTAGGGCAGAAGGACATCTACGTCTGCTCTGCCACTAAAAAAAATGCAAAAATAACATTTACGCTGTAGAGACAAGAAGAAATTAACGCTTAAAATTTGAGGTTGATTGGCATTAAGTAAAAGTTAAACGATGTTGAAGCAGGAAGAGCCGAGCCGACAGGGCGCGATCACGAGCAAGTAAATTAAATTATATAACAACTTTAAACGGGCACGACGAACAACCAGCAAGTGCTTACTATAACTTCATACGTATTGTGTAAAATATTAGCAAAGAAAAAATCCTTTTTATAGATCAAAAAGAAAACAAAAAACCAACGTATTTTTCGCTCTCTATCCTTCACTTTCGATTAAACGATCTACCTATATCTGTCATTCACTCACTCAATCAATCAGTCAGTCGTTCGTTCAGTCAATCGTTTCGGCAAATTTGTTGATTTCGTTTGTTGTGTGTGGAATAGTGTTTGGATTATGAAATGAAACTTTTGCATGTCACAAGAGCAATTTGTTCGCCCTAAGTCCCCCAAGAAAGTTAACTTTGTGTCTAATGATATGTACATATAGGGCATGGATCCTATGCCGGGCTTGTTTTAATCATCTTAAATCTCCAAATGAAAAACTAATTCTCTGCTTAACTCTCTTATTAACTCTCTTTATGTATGTGTCTGTGTGGAAATTGAATACATATACAAAATTATTAAAATTGAAATTGAATTCGTTATATGAGGTATTGTACTTGTACTTTTTGTTGACTATTATGTAATTAAACGCTTTACTGAATATCAGTTATGTAAATTTTTTAGCTAAAATTAAAAATTAAAAACCAAATTCAAGCAAAGAAGCTTATGCTGTTACTTATTGTTAGTGAATTTACCACAAAAACAAATGAAGAAAATCGAGAAAAAAAAGAAAAAAGTTAACTTTTCAAAAATTTATAGATACAAAAAGAAATCATTTTGCAACGTTCATGCGTGAAGAAAAAAATATCAAGGGGATTGCCTTGTGGACGCACTTACGCCTTTGTATATTGCGATACATTTTGATGAGAAGGCTTATCTTAAACTTTGAGAACTACCAGATAAATATCTATTTAATATAACGTATACATGCATACAAGCAACATATAAACATATACCGTATATAAAACGTATGCTAAACTATATCTAAATTGTAAACGACAATGAGAAGCAATTTTAAGCAAAATGAAGAAAACCATTTCAATTTCAACTTCAATACCCCCCCACATGCAAACACACACGGATGAAGTAAACCATTTATGTGAATTAATATGTATAGAACTATATATAACTATGATTACAAACAGCAACAAGGCTATCTATATGCTATGCTAATGAAAGGGTAAACGGCATTTAAACTCATTCAACCAAAACCAACAGAAACCGCATCACACGGAAAGAAATGAAAGCTTATAAATACCATATAGAACCGTATATGTATCATACCATATAGATCCACAACCATGTACCACGTAAATATCGTATCGTAAATAGCAATAGCAGTTAGTTATAGTCAATATGGATAGCTAAACTACCGAATAGCAAAGCCTCAGCCGAAGCAAACTTGTTGTACGATTAAGATTGAGCTAGACTTTTAACCAGAGATAATCCAACTTGTAGATATATCGATATATCACATATAAAATGTATGATTGTGTATATTACCGGATAACAAAAGAACTCTTATGATTTCCAGGTCTCGCTTTTCAGTTGATCCTTATTATGAGCCCCAACTAACTATATATCAAGTCCCCAAAAATCTTTAATGAATTCAGACCAGACCACAAAAACAACCTACAACCAACAACCAACTACAACAAAAACAAACTGTGCCACCTAGTACATAACAAGAAATGGTTATATATCTGTATCTGCTATATAGACACTATAAACACATACAATTCAACACGAACTTGTACTATACCTAGATATACTACATATATATAGAGAGAGAGAAGGAAACATTCAATGCTCACTTTTATATTTTTTATCATACATCCTTGAATCGAGAAAGCTATTGAAAAGGACGCAGAACGAAGCACCGTAAGAACCACTGAACCACAAAGCAAAACAAAGCAAACTAAATCGAACATAGGAAAATTCTCATGCCCAAAGAACATATATTTATATATAGTGTACAAGTTCTATATGCCTAGATATTCGTTCCATTGCTTTTTAGAGCCAATTTGCTTTGCTTGCGAGACAAAATCCCCTGGAAAACCCTAAAAAACCGTACCTACATTCTATTCAGTTCTCTGATCCCAATCAAGATGATAATTAGGAAAGAAAACACCAGGCATAAACGCAAAAGATCGAGCTAAACTAGTGCTTAGTGTTTAATGATAAACAATTCCAATAAAAGTATTTCAGTTGTGTATATTGTAAAGAACAATTATAAATGAACAAATATAAAGTTAAACATTTAAAGAATAATTCAAAAATTTATTGAAACATTAATAAAATAATTGTATTTATCAAAATTAATACAAACCAATTTAAGGCATTAGCATAGCAAAAGATAATGGTATACATAAATTGAAATGAAAATGAACACAAAAAGCGCTGATTTAATATTATATTATTAATTGCAAACAACAAAGTGAAAAACAAATGATATTGTCCTTGGTATTTACATATACATAAAGAAAACAGCAAAAAAAACAAAAGAAAAATAAAAAGAAACGTTTTTTTATATAACCGACATAGATCTTTTCGACCGCTGATCTGCGTGGTTTTGGCCTGGTTGGGCGGTATTGCTTGAGGTTATACTTTTAGAGTCTTGGAGCCACTTCTTATAGGGGTATGCCGCTACTAGAAGAGGATAAGTGATGTAACTATCCTTTTCTAAAAATAACCATGGTAAATTTTACTTTATAATGAAAGGGGTGGTAATTGGCAAGGGAATATCTACAATTTTATAAGAGTCCTACTTTTTTATTGATAACCCATTCAAATTATCGCGCCCAAGTGAGCCCTCGTGCGATGAATAATCGACCAATCGATAGGTGCGAGCGAGTTCGAGTTCGCAGAGAGAGATGGCAAGATATGCCGCACTGTGTGCTTATAAGCGAGAACGAAACTTGCTTCGGCAACAATTTCAAACAAGACGTTAAAGGCGACCGTGCCTGCCAGCGACTGTCCAGGAGCCCCGAATATCCTGCCAGGACTCCAGTCCCAACACACGGCTCAAGCCAAGTTGTAATCGAGTAGTCAGTCACTTGCCAGTTCCAAAAGTGCGCGCTCTTCTGCGTAATTCAAAACAACTGAGTTCATACAAAGTTAAGCAACAAAATATAAAACACATCTCCGAGATGCCTTTCGCCCACGAGCAACTGAATCTGGTGGCCAGCGAGCAGCTGAGCAAAACGGAGACCATCAAGCTGCGCAACCAGCACATCGGGTAAGTGGCATCCTTTTGTTCTCCTTACGCCGTTGTCCTCGCTCGTATCCTTAATCCCTGGGCCGGGTCGTGAGCCTGCGACCTTGCCTTGAATTCGCTCTGGCTGTCAAGGTCAGGCGGCATGCGGCATGCGGCATTCCCCACTCGGCCCACTCATCGCCTGCCCTCTCTTTCGCTCGCATTGGGGCAGACCCCCAGCCCCCGCCAGCGATTTTCTTGTACTTTTGTATTTTTGGCACTGTTGCCAACAGCAGCCAAGGAAATAATATAACAAAAAGTGCACAAAAAAGAGGCAGGAAAACAAAGTCATGCAGCAGCGGCGCTTTTTTAGATTTTGGCTATATTGATTTTTTATCGCCGGACTGCAAAAAGTATAAAAAACCAACTTGGAAAGCGTATAAAAATAAATCCCGAAGGCAGAGTATTCGCTCTTGATAACCATCTTGAATATATAATTTGACATTTGTTCTGGCTTACTTATATGGTGTAATCTAAATTGATTAAAAATAGGAACCAAAATTTTCCATTTCCTGTTAAAATTAAAGAATATAACAAAGGCTAGCCTATTTTGATAAATCCAGAAACTCGAAAGCAAACATTTTGTGTCACTGAACTTTTACAAAATACGTAATATTGAAATGTTAAAATAGCTAATAATTGTTTATTGCTAATATTTTTGTTTGTTAGTATCAAAGTGCATAATTTGTTCCCATTAAATTGTTGGCAGCTGTGTTCCCGCTTTCTGTGTTTGCCCAAAGTCAACCATAAAATGTTTATCAAACACAGCAAGACGCCTTGTTTTTGTCTAACAAACACAAACACAATAACCATTAAACTCGGGCGTGGGTACATGGATTATCTTGGTGATAATGAGTACCACGCTGTCGTATACTTGTGAACTGTTGAAATAGGCCCCGGTTAATAGTGTAATAGTAATAGTATCGTGCCAAATACGTCATTGCATTTACACTGTCTGAATTTTATGAGCCCATAGCTTACGTAGCTTGTTAGCTTGTCTCTGGTTGTAAACTTTGCAACTTTCTTACTAACCCACTCAATAACTTGCGCTTTTCCCACAGGCAAGCTTGCCAGCTCTTCTATCGCTCCGATCCCCTGAAAATTGTGCGCGGCCAAGGTCAATATATGTTCGATGAGGAGGGCACCCGGTATCTGGACTGCATCAACAATGTGGCCCACGGTAAGTCGATCTACCAAAACTAAACTAGCAATATATAGAAATATACAGAGTCATAGCGATAATCTATCAAAGAATCCAAAGGGTTTCCTTTACAAGCTCTCATCATAATATATGTATATCTCGAGTATATTGTTAGGTAAAAAGTTGATGAAAACTAGAGGTTGATAATGAAGTTGGTGTCGTCAAGTACGTTGCTAGGGCATTTTGTCCGATTTTTGGAACCGGGGCCTGATGACGATGATTTTGGACCTCCCGTCCGGCCGTCGACACTAGTCCATTGACGTATCCTATTACTGTCTATGCTGATTAGCAGCGGCACACGCCCGCCAGATGGCCAATGTGCGGATGCAAAGTGCATGTGGAGCTGGGGGCTCTTTGGAGCAGCTATTTGGCAGCGCAAGTTCAAGGCTGATAGCCGCATGTAGTTATGTAGATACAGACGAGTGGCGGCCAGACGTCGGCGGCATGTTCAGGCCCCGATTGAGAAGCCCCTGTGCCGACTGAGTCAGCCTTATCACAACGGCCACCGGCAAATTTTAGATGCTGCCTGCCGGCGGGCAAAATCGCAGTGGGCACGGGCATGGGCCACTTGGTTCTGATTTCTGATTTTGTATTTCGGGCCCCGGCACAGAGCCGCAGATTCGCAGAGCAATAACTGGTGATTAAGAAGCAACAATCACAATAATAATAATACCAATAATAACAAATGGCTAGGGTCGCGTTTGCGTATACAATATGCAATATGTATTACGTGCACACAGCACCGAGGGGGTCCCAGTCAAATCCAGACGAACCATATCACATTATCAACAACGGTGGCCCAACGAAAATAACAAAAAAACAACGAAGATTGACGTCGGCAACCAATTTGCCAATTGCTGATTTTGTATTTGTCAAAAACACTTCCTGTTGCGGAAAATTTTCCACTTCCACAAGATTTTTGCCAGCAATTTTCTTAGCCGAGATCATTAATAAGTAATAATCTTACTTATTGAATACCTTTTGGCAATACTAGGAACTGGAGTTGTAATAAAACCGCATCTATATTAGTTACTATTTTCGAGATCCCTTCTATTAAAATAGATTTTCCTTTCGGATTAACGCTTGGCGCGCTGATAAGATGAGGCCATTGGCATTGCGAATGTACTGAATGTACATGAAATATAATTGGAAACCCAATCAGTTTTGATAACGCCAACTATAGTGTGTATTAATAGCTTTGCTTTTGGTCACTCGCCACCATTAAGGGGGCTCATCCACAGGGTCCAAACAATATTCCAAAAAGGGTTATCATCGCAGGGCGCAAAAGGTTGTTTACGGTTCAGTGATAGTCACCTGATGTGGAATAAATGTTGTTCCCCTCTATCAAAACACATTGAAAATTTGGAGATTATGTAATCAGTGACTCAAGTAATAACAGCTTGAATTATTAGTCAGGTTTATATACGAGCAGCTATTGTTATACCAATAAAAACACCTTAAATTGTTTTTACTGCATTTATTAGTCACGTTTGTATATTACTCTTAAACCATTATTATACCATAGAGATTGCAGCGATCTTTTCCCCTTCTCTGCCTTTCGCATTTCAGCACTAAGTAATATTTATTGTGCTCCTCCATTTATTGACCCACTTAGGCGCTTGCACATTTCGTAGACGATCGCAAAACTCAATCAACCTCGTACGACTGATAGTTTGCCCCTTCACATTCAGAACGAGTGTGGAATCCGTGCAGTGGCACGTAACTGCATGGCTGTGACCATAAGTCATCAATAACAAAGTGTGAAATCAGTCCCCAGCTAACATAAACTAGAACGGAGCACTTCAAATATGATAAGGTGGCGGGGGCACGTGTGGAGGATCTGGCGATCTGGCGATCGGAATAACAAGTTGTTATGAAACTCCAACCACGTTCCCCGTAATCTCGTGCTACTTTTTCCACTCCGGGTGTCCGACAGACCCGCAACATGTGAACGTCTCGTGCGAGTGGAAATGTACTCAGCTAGACGGGCGGGCACAGTCCGTAAAAGGGGGCGGGGCTGCCCCCGGGAGGAGAGTCCACACATGGCGTACAGTCGTGCAGTACGTAGTCTAGTTTCAATATTTGTGCTCGTAGATCTGAGCAATCAGCTGTGCCACTCAGCACACATTGCGAGTGGAAAATTCTGAGCAGATAGTCGGAAAAACAGACCGAGCCCGGGGCCTGCGGCCTGTGAAAAGTCGGCCACACAGCCGACATAAAGGGAACGGCCAGTGGAACCACTTGTAGATTGTCGACAATGTCGCGAAAAGCTGGGAAAATGTGCCGATCGCGAAAGAGGGAAACAAGTGGGCGGGCTTCATAAGCATTATAGAACCTCAAATGAATATTATTTAATGTTGATAAGTATATAATGTTGATATAGAAATACATCAGAATATAGCTGGATATATAGCTCGATATAGCTGGTCAAGGTATGTGAGAAACACTTAGTAACGAAGGTCTTCGCAAGCAAGCAACAGTTCCCAAAGAAGTTAGTTTTCCCCAGCATAACTGTACCGCTGTCCACAAGTGCAGAGACTACCCCATGGTCACTCCGATCGTTGCGAACCTAATCAGCAAGCGAACGAAACTGAAATGTTCTATCGTACGCCGTATAATTTCACGCCGCTGATACAGAAACTAGAAACGTGAAGGCATCGCGTGAACTTCACGTGATACCTGCCTCGCCAAGCACTGCGTCTTATCGGGAACGTGTGCGTCCAAGCCCAAATGCCGCTGATGAGAGTACGGGTACGGAATTAGAAACGCCAGCGAAGCGAGTAGTTGACCCCCAAACGTCGCAATCTCGGGGGTTCGGGAGCGGAGTGGTCTGGGTGCGGGGCTTATCGCGCGTCCGTCGGGGCCTACGGAAAAGCGATGTACTTACGGATGGCGACGCCCAGCCCCATGGATCCGGGCCTGTTTGCAAGCGTTTTAATTTCGGCATATGGGATCGGGCAACCAAATAGCATGAGGAAATTCCCGTGCGCGACTTGCTTTCTTTTGGTCACGCCCTCAGTCCATGCCTATCACTATTTGGATGATCTATAAACTTCATCCAGTAATCTTTGAGTCAGACACGTTAATTGAATGTTTTATTTTTGGTGCTTAGCATCGTGAGTTGGCATTTCGATTAATCAAAGAAGAGGCCTGGTACTTGGAGAAGCTAGAAACATTTTCCTGATAATAATTGAAATGGCTTTGGGAAGATTATGGAAGATTATAAAACTAAACGTCTTATCGCAATCTTTGCAGTGGGTCACTGCCATCCGGAGGTGGTGCGAGCTGGCGCCCTGCAGATGGCCACCATCTCGACGAACAACCGCTTCCTCCACGACGAGCTGGTCCAGTGCGCTCGCACCCTGACCAGCAAAATGCCGGAGCCCCTGTCCGTTTGCTTCTTCGTCAATTCCGGATCCGAGGCCAATGACCTGGCCCTCCGGCTGGCACGCAACTTTACCAAGCGTCAGGACGTTATCACTCTCGACCAGTAAGTTTCTGCTCTTTCACTCTGTTGATTACATTTGCTGGGAAATATGATTAAGATTCCTTTTAAACGGTGATGAACATGCTTTCCCTTTACAGCGCCTATCATGGTCATCTGCAGTCTGTGATGGAGATTTCTCCATACAAGTTCAACCAGCCCGGCGGCGAGAGCAAGCCGGACTATGTGCATGTGGCTCCCTGCCCGGATGTTTACGGTGGCAAGTTCACGGACAAGATGTATCCGGATGCGGACATGGGCGCCCTGTATGCCCAGCCCATTGAGGAGATCTGCCAGAAGCAGTTGGCCAACGGCCAGGGCGTGGCCGCCTTCATCGCCGAGAGTCTGCAGAGTTGCGGTGGCCAGATCCTGCCACCAGCCGGATACTTCCAGGCCGTCTACGATGCGGTACGCTCTGCCGGAGGAGTCTGCATTGCTGATGAGGTGCAGGTGGGTTTTGGACGCGTGGGCAGCCACTACTGGGCCTTCGAGACCCAGAACGTAGTGCCCGATATCGTGTGTGTGGCCAAGCCCATGGGCAACGGACATCCGGTGGGCGCGGTGGTCACCACTCCGGAAATCGCTCAGGCCTTCCATGCCACCGGAGTGGCCTACTTTAACACATATGGCGGCAATCCGGTTTCCTGTGCGATCGCCAATGCCGTGATGCGCGTGATCGAGGAGGAGGGTCTGCAGCAGAAAGCCCTCGTACTGGGTGACTATCTTTTGGATCAGTGCAATCGCCTGAAGCAGGACTTTGAGTGCATTGGCGATGTGCGTGGCGCCGGACTCTTCGTGGGCATCGAGCTGGTCCAGGATCGAAAGGAGCGTGTTCCGGACAAGAAGGCGGCCCACTGGGTGGTCAACCGGATGAAGCAGCTGCACCGGGTGCTTGTCTCTTCCGATGGTCCTAACGATAACGTGATCAAGCTAAAGCCGCCCATGTGCTTCAACCGGGAGAATGCGGATGAGTTCCTGCTGGCCTTCCGCGAGTGCCTGACCGCCGTGATGCAGGATCGTCTGGCCAGTGCCACGTCCGCGGCCATGGCTGCCACCAGTGGCGTCATCGCCACCGCCGCCGAGACCCTGGCTAACAAGACGAAGCTGTTCGAGCGGCAGGATCGCCTCATCAAGTCCGTCTGAGGCAGTGCCTGCTGGTTGGCCAATGCCACCACCAACAACGCCTCTTCGCCCGGGCACAAAATAGCTTTAGCCACCAAGGATATTTAAATTATTCCATGATCCCCATACAAAACTAGAAGTAATGCCCAAAATTTCCATTTGTTTAGCTGTAGTGTCAAAATGTTTATTTGCTTAGAAGTATACCCATTTATCGTAATCTACATTTATATTTTTACGCTGCATAATCATTATCCTGTTCGCCAATTAGCTTCTAGTATCTAGAAACGTAGGGGGCCCAGAACGAATTTCTTGAATTGTTATATCTCCAACACCATGTATATAGAATATATTAGTATAATATTATGTTACAAATGTTATTAAACAGTCACGTACATATATTTTGTATAAATACGATGGTGTTTTTACACGTATCTTACACGTATGGCATTTATTAAATTCTGAACTGAACGGAAAATATTTTACATGCTGCAAAGACTTAGTTGTCAATAGAGGTAGTAAAGTAAATGTAGAATGCATGTAAAATAAGTTGATTGTATGAATAATGCGTCGAAAGTTATGCAACATTTCGCAGAGTTTCGTTTTTAAAAGAAATGGATACGTGTAGAATTTAATTATTGTACTGCTATTCAGGCAGCCCAAACAATTATATATACCTTGAATCACAAGCTGAGTTTCTTGCTGCATTGTACATTGCGTTTTTATTGACTTTAATGCTCGACATTCTTAAACCTACATAAATGACTTGCTCATACAACCAGTGAGTTACTAGTGCCTGTGGTTGCCCAGCAGCTGCAGTAGCGGAGACTGCACATCCTGCTGCATGCGGACATCGATTGCGGTGTCGGAGAACTCTGAGCACGGCGAGCAGCCGCAGTTGGAGGGCACCTCGTGCTGCAACAAGATCAGTAGTTAATTAGATGGAATAGAAAAGAGGACTGGACAAACCTTCTGCGTGAACGTGTGGCCATCCTCGCAAATCATCTTCACGGAGATTGGATGATACGATTGGATGCTGCAGCAAGTACAGAACTTCTCGTGCATGTCAGTGAGCGTATTGTACTTGGAGCCAGAGGAGCAGGAGCCCTCGCAGTCGGTGAAGCCCTGAATGGGATCGGCATTCACGCAGGTTCCATGTCCTTGCACAGGGAACTTCAGAATCTCCTTGGTTCGCGACTCGGCCAAAGAAACGGGCAAACAAGTTGCTGCAAATGACGGGGTATCTAGTCAGCCTGGACTTGAGAACTGCGACTGAACTTACATTTGTCCTGCACCAGTGGCTCCGATTTGCATCGCTTGCAGCAGCCATCCTGGTACAACAGGTGAGATAGGCAACTGTCCACATTCGGACATACTTCCTTCGAGGTGGTAACCAAGAACTGGCCATCCTTCTTCAGGCAACTGTAGGTAGTGCAATTGTCCGCCGACTTCCACAGCGCGTTGACATCGTATAGCTTTTGCTCAAAGATGCACGACGTCTGGACGCACTTGCCACAGCACTTGGTTTTGTCCAAGTTCTGGTAGCTGAATCCCGGGGCGCAGTCCGTGAGACACTGTTCCAAGGTGCTGACCACCTGGGCATTGCCATCCGGACCGTACGAGCAGGTCTCCTGCTTGCAAACCTCCTTGGCATGCGTCCACTTCTCACCCACTGGCTTGGTGAACTTCGTAGCTTCGTCGAGCTCATATTGAACAATGCACAGATCCTTGGGAGGCACTGCAAGTGAAGGGCGTATGTTTCAAAAGCGAATGTCCAATAACATGGATATTTCCCTTACCACAGGAGTGCTTGGAACAACACATTCCGGGCTGCTCAATGGTCTTGACTTCGTAGAATCGTTCTTGACAGCTAACAGGCGCCTGGGGGCAAGTGTCCGGCTTACACTCAATTTTCTGGGTGGGGCAGCAGCCTTCTTCAACCTTTACAATGACCTCGCCCGGTAGCAACTCCCGCAGCTTGATAATTTCACACTGGTCCTTGGGTATGCACTCTGAAGAGTTTAAAGGTTACATAAAAACGGATTACAGTGGGCACCATAGGTGATTACCGCATATGTATTGGGAGCAGCCATTGACATCCTTCTTCTCCTTTTTGAACTGTCCAGGACCGCAAATGGGCACCAGAGGAGCAAGGCACAGCTTGGATGGGTCCTTCGTCTCCGGGACACATCGATACCTAGGACAGCACTCATCCACGCTGAATATGGTCTCAGGTCGATAGCCCTCGGCGCAGATATTCTCCTCCACCTGGCACTTCTTTTCCACACACGTGGTCTTACCCTTGGAATCACACTGACAGTCGGTGCACTTATCCTTCTTCCATTTCTCGTCGGGCAGGTGGAGTCCATCATCGCACTTTGTGCAGGCTATTTCGGGCACACACTTTCCACCATCCATGACCTTTCCAGCGGGACAGAAGCAGCCCTCGAATCGCTCCGAGCTCAAACACATTTCATCGGTCTTAACGGTATGAACGACGGCCGAGTTTTTGAGGCTCACTGCATCGAACTCGGCCAAAGCCTTGATGGTATCGCAGTTCTTGGCACAGCCACATGGCTGGTAGACCATATCGCTGGGGCATTCGTATGGACACAGTTGGGGTCTCCTCCAGTTGGTGCAGATGCCGTGCTGGTTGCACTCCTTGGCATATGCTGCCAGAGCAACACATATACCTTGCTGGGTGTTTCCGGGCTTGCAGATGTCCTGTTGACAGGCGGAGACATAGGCAATGGGATCGATGGCCAAAGGACACTTGCCGAACAACTTATCATTGTAGAACTGGAAACATGGGTCCTTCTCTGGCGGCAGAGGAATGCAGTGCTCCTTGGGCACATCCTCACTGAGACATTCCTCCACCAATCCCAGCTTGGGCTCATCCGCCTGCCAGCTTTGGATTACATCCACTCCTGCATTCTTTTTGGCCGGATTGGGCTGCAGATCGTTGGCTGCATTGCCATTGCAATCGCCGCAAAGTCCCTCCATCTTGCTTCCATATTGGATACTTGGCACGCCCAAGGAGAAAATCAGGTCTTCAAAGGAAGCGGTCAATTCCACATGGGACTCCAGCAGGGAGAGCACTAGCTCCTTGCCCACCACTTGCCGTAGGCTAATCCAACTATCTTTGAATGGCACTTTCTTCACCTCGAATCCATCGACCAGAACCTGCAGGGATTTAGGTTTCTGCGGAACACGCTGCACATGAATTACATGGTCACCGTTCAGAATGTGCAGTGATTTAGCGCAGCTGCCGCCTTCCACTGGAGTGGCTTGTCCCAGTTTCTTACAGTCATCCATGCTGACGTACACCTGGAATGTGTGGACACCTGGGAGGACGACATCGCGCGACAGAAGGTATGTGCAGTTGCCATTAAAGCCAAAGCTCTTCCGGTCATAGGTCATGTACTTGGAGGCGCCCAATGAATTGCACACACAGTCCTTGCACTCGGATATGGGCACGCAGCTGGGACCCTTGCGCACAGTGCCCTCCGGACAATAGCAGCCCGGGAAGCAGGCATCCGGAAGCACTGGACAGTCGTCTCCGTGAACATTATCGCAGGATGGCTCACAACGCCTCTTGTAACAGTCGGTGTGAACCAATGGCGCAGGACAATTGATCTCGCACTGGGCCACGGCTCTCCAGGTAGTCAATTGAACAAGTGGGTTTACGCTGAGGCACTTCTTCACAAAGCTCTCCAAGATGTTGCACTTGCAGGCGGCTGGATCTCCGTTGTTGGCCATCATGCAATTACAGGCAGCTTCGAGGCAGTAATTGTTGAGGAACTGCTTGTAGTTGACCGCCTTGTGGCAACGAGCAAAGGTTGGATGACTATAGGTAAAAGTTAATGCATCAATTCATTTGTTTATGGAATTATAGGTAAATAGGCCCTGAATACTTACTGAATGATGTTGCACAGCTGCAAGGCCTTTGCCTGCATCTCCCTGGAGCACTTAAGATCGCCACACTGGTCCTTGGGTATCCGCTTATCATACCAACTGTCGCCGAACTTTTCGGTGTTTGGTATAATCTGGCCATCGGGTGATCTCTTGTCGTCCTTTGGGTTCCCGTTGTAGTAGCCACACAGGCCATCGACAGTGCGAATAAACTTGGAGGATATGCCCACTTTGACGATGCCAATGTCATCGAGCTGTACCCAGAAACCATATTTGGTGGACACGGCCAGCAGAGTCTTTCCCGGCTGGGAAACCACGAATGAAGCCTTACAGATGGGCGAATTTATCAGTTGCTGCACTGTGAACTCAAAGCCATTGAACTTGAGTTTCAGCTGGGGCAGGAGGATCAGCTCATTGCCAGCCTCAGTGTCCTGTATAGTGATGACCTTGTGACACACTTTACGGGTCTCATCGCTACATTGCTGATGGACTAGGGATCAAAACCAAATGATAATGCTGAGTACCGCTGCTAAACGTATGGTTATATGCCTTACCCGATATTGACCAACTGCTGTTGTGGATATCCCTGGCCAGGATGTGGCTGCAAGGTCCGTACTTGAACACAGTTCCATCGAAGGTGGTGAAGCTCTTGCCGCTGATTTCGCACACATCATCTTTGTTGGGTCGCAGGACGCAGGTGTATCGCAGGCAGTCTCCCACCTTGGCCGCACTCATGTCCAATTCCACGTCGTACTTCTCGGGACACTTTGGTTCCGTGCAGGTGACAGTCTCGTTTTTGTCCACTTGCTTGCTGGGAATGGGCACACAAGTGAACTCATCGCACTGCTCTTCCTCTTGGAAGTCCAATGCCTGGTTGGGCATAGCCAGAACTTGTTCCTTGGACGAGATGAACTTGGTCTTTGTGATGGTCGTTCCATCGTCCACTATTGACACCTGCTTCGAGAAGGTAAACATCTTTGACATCTTTCTAGACTTCTTCTCCGTAATTCGAATTTTCATTTGAGGAGGACAAACGGGAACGGGACATGTAATGACTTCAGCTGCAACAAAATAGTTGAGTATTTTAAATAGGGCAACGCTTCTTTTTTAATGCAACTCACTCTCGTTCTTTTCTCGGCTGACGTCGGGCTCGACAGTGAATGAATCACTGCAACTGGCATCCTCATCGTCAGCACAATCCTGCACACCATTACACCAGAGTATTTCGGGTATGCAATCTCCGCTGGACGGGCACAACCTTTGGTGTTTGGGACAGGGCTCGCACTTGCAGAAGCAGTCGCTGGTGATCACTGGACGCAATTTGCCGTCCACACATGGCGGACACTTCTTGGGCTTGCAGTTCTTATGGCCACCGAGCACGCAGACGCACTCCTCGCAAGCGGAATTCTCAAATTTGCTGCCTATCGGATAGCTCACATAGTTCTCTATGCAGGGACAGAGATTGTGCTGCACACAGGTGCTGCCGTCCCAGAAGAGTTGCTCCTGGCACTGGCATCCAGCAGTCGAACTGGACACACTGGACACACTGGACACACCATCGCAGACATTGCACTTGGTGGGCTTGCTCTCTTCCTTGGGCACTTGGCGTTGTACTTCAGCTTAAAATAATAAATAGGGATGCAGTATGGTGAGGAGTTTGAATGAAACTGCAAACTTACGATATGGTAGGAAGCATCCGAGTGGTTCGATTCGCATATTGATGTTCCTCTCCCAGTAGGCCGGCACAATCTTAATGTACTGCGTGAGAATTGGGTTCTTGAAATGATGTCTGCGCTCAGTTTCCGCATCGTGGTTCGCCTCGAAGATGCGTGGCTGTCCGTCGGTGGAGAGCACTGTGTTCCAGGTGGGTTTCTTCTTCGAGAACAACACCTTGTAGCCAGTGACCCAGCCATCCGGACCACCCTTGGTTACAAATCCAGATATGTTGCGTGGCTCCAGGAAGTCGAACTCAATGAACTCGTTTTGACTATTTGCCAAGGGACGCCAAGCTAGGGGCGTCGATACCTTGAGCAACTCCAGAAGCTGTGATTTCTTTCCCAAACTGGGTTGCTGCCACAAGCTGCTGGATTGAACTTGGTCCTGGTGCATCTTGCCCTCATCCACGCCCATGAGATCAATGCACTCCAGATCGACCAATCGAGGTGGCCGGTCAGTTACGGGTGGCACTGTTGGAAGTGTGGGCACTGGCTTCGGTTCTTCCTTATCGCCGCAGATCAGGAGCTCCACACGCATGGCGATGGAGCCATGCCATTTGAGGGGATAAATGCGAAGGGAGCTCGCTTCGACGGGAATCTTGAATAGAGTCTGTACTGGAGCTCTTGAGTCCAAGGGGCCATTGAACATTTGGGTCTTCTCCATCTCGTCCACCAGATAATGGTAGGCGATTCCATCATGACTGTACAGGATCTGCAGCAACAAATTAAATAAAAATTCGAAATTCAGTGCTAACAAGCACTTACCTTGAAAAGGCTGACGTAGTTATCGAATTCCGGGCTACCAGCCATGACCACGCCATAGAATGGCTCTGGCTTTGCAAAGTTTAGTTCCAGATACTGCATCTGATCGTTGATGCTGGGTGACCAGCTGCCCAGCGGTTGGTCCTTGGTCAGGCGAGCCATTTTCGGGCCATGTTCGGGCGCCAGCTGGGAACTGGCATTGAAAATGCTATCAGGCTGTGAATGAGCAGGGTTTTCTATCTTGGGAATGAGGCTGAAAAATAGAAGATAGATAGATATCATAGGCAAGCCAAGTCAGATATAGAGATTTCCTACCGTTCTGGAGAACACTGCAGCGGTGGAGTTAGGGTAACAGGGTAAATGGGAATCAGAGGCACCACTTCCACTTCGACGTCTAAAATAAGGAAGAAAGCCTGTAGGATTTATGTCAGGTTCGAATTTTCATGAAACCACCTACCGCCCTCCTTGGGAACAGCTTCTGGCTTGTTGGGCACACAGGTGAAGGCATTGTCGATGCACTGGCACACCTCGTACTCTCCAAGCACGGGCTTGTGCGGCTGCACATAGTGTTCCGCCTTGTCCATGCAAGGACACTCGTCAGCATGGACGCAAGTGTCCTCGTCCCGCCAAAACTTGCCAAGCTTGGGGCAATCTGGTCGCAGCTCGTCCACACAACCGGGCTTGCAGTGCTCGCCAACCTGGCAGAGACCCCGCTTCCTTAGAATGGTGCCATAATAGTGGCACGTATGCTCACACTGATTTGCACAGTCGGACATTATTTTGCCGGGCGGACATTGCTTGATGGGCTCAAATTCGGGCTCCGGCTTGGGTATCAGGCCACAGTTGGGTTTGATCTCCGTTACGGTGGCTATGTGGTCACAAATTAGCACCGTGGGATTAAACATCATGTACTCCCCGCAGGTTTTTTCCACGTAGATCCAACCGCCCTCGACTCCCTTGGGCTGGCAGTGCAGGAACTTGTGGCAATCTCCTGGGAATTCCTTGTACTCCACCACAGCAGCATCGCAGGCCAGGCCCAGTTGTGGCTTTTCCGTGGGCTTGGCAACTTCGGGCTCCAGTTTCTCATCGCACTGGCAGAAGGCGCGCAGTTCGTAGTCGTGGCACTTTCCAATACACCTAAGACCCTCTTCCAGACTGCAAACCACATTCTCGTCCATTTGCTCCGGTGCCTCGTGGGTGTCCTTCACCCGGCACTCCACCTTGCTCATAAATTGCTTGAGGCACGTGCCGTAGACATTTTCCATTCTATCGTAGCGCGGCACCTTCTCCTCGTCATTCAGTCGCACACTCTTGTCCGACGCATCCCGATCCTTGTCGCACCAGCGAGTCCATCCCTTGACGCACTTGGTCTGGTTTTGGGTAGCCAAAGGCGTTGCCACAGTCGTGCCCTCAATGAGCGGAGCCGAGTGTCCAGTTGTTACAGGTACATCACACTTGACACCGCTGCAAATCTCCTTGCGCTTGGAGCACCGACAAGTGGCACACGAATCCGTATAGGTAATGTCACCTTCGTAGAACGTCTTTCCGTCCATCACCATGCACACTGGCTTGCACTCGGCCTTGGGCACACAAGCGCGGTAGGTGTCGTTCAGGTAGATGAACCCATCCTCGCACGGCTTTATGTGGCATCCCTCCAGGCAGTTCTCCCGGTTGCACATGCGCTCCGCGATTCCCTGGTCGAGGAAGTTATCGCAGGTCTCCACAGCGCAGGCCGGCGTGCAGGCCTTGTAGTCCGAGCAGTGGGGATCGCATTGCATGGCTGCGTACAACGATGGAAATGGTTAGGACTGAAGCAAGATACTTAAGTGAACTCACGGCAAAAGTGCTGGGACCTCCAGCGAATATTGATGCCCTTCTGGGCACAGGCATCCGCATAGGCAGCCATGGCAGTGCAGAGGCACTCGCAATCGCCGCCCTGGTCGCAGGCACAAGTGTCGAAAATGCAGCGTTTCCAGAAACGATCCAGAGGCACCTCCGCATGGCACTCCTTGAACAGATCAGACTTGAGAGCTCCACACTTCAGTTGGGCCCAGGTTTCGCGCTCCGGATGCTTTTTGCAGGCATCGATGGGCGCCACTGGGGCTGAGCAGTGGGGCTGCAATTTCCAGGCGTGGCCAAAGAGCATGGGACTGGTCTCCAGTCCCATCGATGGTGTCTGCATGTCGTCCAGACTGTTGCCATTATAGTTGCCGCACAGGCCGCTCACCTTCTGGCGCCACTCGTTGCCCAGCTTCACGTAAACCCGAGTGCCCTCGTCCCATTTCACTTGCAGCTTCAGCGGGATCACCTCCACCACCACAAACACGCCAGCCTTGTAGATGTGGAAGGCATTGTGACCTTTTGAGTTGACACTGTCACGAAGCTCTAAAAAAGAAATGAATTAGACATGGCTATAGATTAAAAACGGAAGTTACCTACTTCTAATAGGCGACTTGTTGGGATCAGTGATGTAAGCTGAGTCTGCGCTCAGAAGCAGCGATTCTTCAGCATGGCCAGTGAGCGCGATTTCCAGGGACTTGGAACAAGTCACACCCATGGTGCCGCACAGGACATTCTGGATGGTTATGCTGAAGCCGTCGCCGTTGTCGAAAACGCCCTTGGCAAGGACATAGTCACAGGCGCCCTGGAAGTCAAAGTCGTGGCCATCGAAGGTGGTGAAGTGGGAGTCGCCCCAAACGCTGCACGTTGACTCACAGCCATTCTTCGAGCATTTCCAGTTGCCCGCCTTGCACTCACAGAGATTGCAGTCCTCTTTGATCTTCTCGCCGTCATCGTAGCTCTTTCCGGCATGGTGGCAGGAGCAGTTGCCGGGCAGGACGCAGGCCAGGCGGGAGGTATCATAAACGTATCCTTCCATGCAAACGCAGCCGGGCAGACAGTCGGAGGAGTCGGCCACATACTTGTCCATGTTCTTGCACGTTTTCGGTTCCTTGGGCGCACATTTGGTGAACTCGGCGTAGGGCTGCTTTTCACACTTTGAGCGCAATTCCGAGGATGGTGGATACTTATCCTTGTCGCCCGGCTCGGCGTCCTGGCAGTCCCACACGCCATTCGTGCAGGTGCACAGATCCAGGAACTTCTCCCCTGGTCGCACCTCCTTGTAGCCCGGTTGGAAGGACATGCCGTCAAAGCTGCAATGACATTTCTGCTTCGGCACGCACTCGCCCTCTTCGTTGACATATTCTCCGTGGGGGCAACGACATCCCTCGACGCACTCCCGCTTGCAGGATCCTTTGCTGGGGAGATCGTCGCAGGATAATGCACAGCCATCACCGCACTCGTCGAACACTTGGCCCATCGGACACTTTGCAGCTGTTGGGAAAAAGAAACAATATAAGAAATATTTCCAATGTGAAATATTCGAATAAAAGAGGTCCTGAAACGGACAAAACTCACCGCATTCCTTGACCGACATTCGCCAGCCAGTCTTCACACCCTGTCGCATGCATTCTGTGCCATAGGCGGATAGGATGGGGCAGAAGCACTTGGCCATTTCATCCTTGCACGCGCATGTATCGTAGAGGCAATCCTCATAGTACTGCTCGGGCTCCACCAGGAAGTGGCAGTCCTGGAAGATGTCCTGAAGAATCCAATCACAGAACTTCTCCGCCTTCACCTTTTTCTCCGGGTTCAGCGTACAGGGATGAGGTCCTTGGTGCGTTTCCGCCTTAAACTGGCAAGTGTCCTTTGTGCGCCATTTATCTGCAAAGGGTTCCACGGCCGTTTCCACATCGCCCTCGGGCGTTAGGAAGTCATCTTGGGTGTTGGAATTGAAGGTGCCGCAAAGGCCCTGGGTTTGGCCACGCAAACTGGGCGGTGCGTCGATATAGACTCGCGAAACTCCGTCCCACCAGACGCGAATGCCATCTGCGAACTCCACAGTCAGGAAGGTGGAACTCGCCCGCCGGATGAGCACCTCGCCCAGACCCAGCATCTTGGGTAACTTGGCGATGGGCTTGTCATTCACCACCGTGGTCAGTCCCTGATCGAGCTTGATCACCGACGGGGTACCATCGCGCAGGATAAACCGAATGGTCACCGCCTTGGTGCATGACGGATCATCGGGAGCTGCGAAATTCATGGCCTCCGAAACGGCGCCCGAGCAAGCCACATTCTCAGCCTCTACGGAAGTGTTTTGGGTCTTCAGAAGGTGGTAGGAGCACTTGCCCATGAAGTCGTATCGCTTGCCATCGAAGGTCTGGTAATGCGGATCTCCGACGGCCCCACAGCGTGCGCCACATTTATCCTCCGTGCATCGCCACTGGCCGTTCTTGCAGGTGCATGTATTGCAGTTCTTTCTTACCGTCGACTCCGGCTTGAACTCCTTGCCGCGCAGGGAACAAGGGCAAAGTTCACGAGTGATGCAGGCCTCCTTGTACTGCACAGTTCCCTCCGGACAAAAGCAGCCTTCGTTGCAAGCGCCTTTTAATGCTGGCAGAGCCAAGTCCGAATCGCAGGTCGGCTCCACATTTGGACCACAAGCCTGGTAAACGCGTCCAAAGCCGCAACTGATGGCTGGAAAGGAAAGGAGATTTACATTTTACAATGTAACAATAGTTTCCAAAACTGGAAAACTTTCTTTTGATTCAATCTTGCAGTTCAGCCAAGGTGACTTACGACAAATTTCCAGATTTCGCCAGCCGTGCTCCAGTTTGATGCCCTTGAAAGCGCACTCCTTGGCCAACATGGCAATGGCATCACAATTGCAGCTTTCCGGATGCTCCCGATTGGCACAATTGCAGTAGTCCGCCATGCAGGTGCGGATGAGGGCGTCATAGTTGAAGGGCTTGATGCAGTCACCCAGCTTTTCATTGGCCAACAGACGCTCGCAGACTGAAACTGCCTTCTGTAGCTTGGATTGCTCGCAGGAATCCATGCCGAACTCCATCTCTGCACTGTTCTCCACCTGGCACAATTCACTGTGATCCTCGACGCGCCAGGCATCGGCGAAGGCCTTCACGGTGACCAGATTCTTGCCCGTCCTGGAGGTCAAGTCCGTGTTGGTATCACCATCCAGGGTTCCGCAGAGTCCTCCGACTTTTCCCCACATTTGGGGCCCAGCCTGCACGGAGACATACTGCCGATGATCCCAGTCCAGCTTGAGGCCCACGGACTCCAGATCGATCTGAACGTGCTGGGCCACTGGCATTACCTTCATGCCCATCACCTGGACAGGCATAGGAAGTTTCTTAATGGGCGTGGTCAGCTGCACGGTGCCATCTAAACGGAGTTTTCTCATTAATCATCTCACACGTCTTGCTTGGTGTCGAAGCTCTTACTCAGGTTTTCAAAGGTGTACTGAACCGACTGCCACAGAATTTTCAGGGTGTGTGCGCATCCGTACCCAGAGCCATACGGACAAGCTTTCAGGATAATGTCAAATGTGCCCGATACCTTATCCGTAATCAGCGTGTGCGAGCAGGATAGAGGAGCCCTGTTGGGAATGGTGGGTTACCAAAACCGATTCACTTATGTTTTTATTATGCCCGACTTACTTGAAAACCAGGCCATCGAAGGTTTTCATGTTAATGCCACCCCAAGTGGTGCAAAGTGCTGGTCGTGGGTTCTTGTCGATGACGACATCCACATTGTTGCTCTGGTACAAGGCATAACTGCTCATGGTGACAACTGTTTCCTCCGACGACCACCATTCCTAGGGAAGTGTACTTTCTTTAGTTTCTATTCAGACTGAAGTTATTCAAATTAGCCTACACTTCTTCGTTCCAGATCCCGATATTTGGCCAGCAGAGCAAGTAGTTTCTGACGTTCTGTCAGGAGTTCGAAAGCCATGCCATCCCTCATTTCGCGATTATAGACTTCATTCTGATGTGTCACGCCTTGCATGGAGGATGTGGAGCGAACCGTGTATCCAGGAGCTGCGGTAGTTCGATTTTGGAGGAAAAAATTAGCCTCAAGGTAAGTAAATGTTATGTATACTTATAATAGAGGACTTGCAAAGTTGTGTTGCAGATACTTACGGAATATGCACTTTGGCAGGGGGGCAGGCAGATATTGTCCTGTCAGATAGTTACACTTGTACTCTATGTCAATGCGTCCTTCGATTTTTAGACCCGGTACCTGAGTGCAGCTAAATGTGCAACGTGCCTCCTCCGCTTCATATGCGCACTTGTAGTTTCCATTAAAATTGGTATTAGTCACATTGCATCTGTCGATATCTGTAGGAGGGATTATTAAATTGAACGACAGTGCTAAATTTTGGAGCAACATTTTATTACTTACTATATTGACACTGGTTTCCGCGGAACAACTTAGGGCAGTGACAGACATTAAAACTAATGCACTGTCCTCCGTTTTGGCAGGCGGGCGCACAAGTTGCTGAAAAGAAGGTTTCAATAAGAGATTCCTCAGCTCTTCACAGGTTTCTACTCACGAGCACAATCTGGAGTCTTGGAAAGCCCGGTCTTGGTGTGCACCCACTGGCCATTGCGGCACTCAATGTTCGTAATTTCGCTGCCGTCTGGGAATTGGAAGCCTCTCATGCACTCGGCGTGGCACATACTTTGAAGAAAGTTGTATTGTAGTATCCCTGTTTTAGCCAGGCTTATGTAAGTGCTCACTTATTCTTGCAGGAAACTTTGGAGTTCTTTGGGCTCTTCGGAAAGGAGGCACATATGGACACCTTTTGCTGGCACACCGGACCGTAGTAGTTCTCCGGACACTGGCACACTCCGGCGGAGATGCAGATACCATTATTCTGGCAACGTGGTGTACATTGTGCCTGGCATGGCGGCACCTCCGTGAACACGGAGTTCCCTATGATCCATCCATCGTTGCTGCAGAACATCTCCAGGACTGAAACGTCCTGGGCAAAGCTATAGCCACTTGGGCAGGAGACCTTGCAGCGACCATTGTGGCATTCAGACTGCACATTGGAAGGCAGCTGGAGCGCCGAACATTTTCCAAAGGCTGCCAGCATGTGACCGCCGTTTCCGTAAAAGTTGCCCTGACTTTAGATGTGAAGATTTTATTTGAATACTTGGGATGCACTTCCCAGCTTTTTGATAATTACCCCATGCCTAAAAATCCCAAGGTTTTGGCTATCAGTCCTCCAGCGGCATGAGACGTCTTCAGCCCGCCGCCATAACCACCATCGCCACCAAATCCTCCACCATATCCTCTTTGAGCACCATATCCTCCACCAACTCCTGCTGAGCCGCCATACGTGTATCTGGCACTATAAAATAATATAGTCTAGTTAGGAATTCTCCGGTGACCTTGGCGAACTATCGCGGTTTCTTCAGTCTTATCATTACCTAACTGCTGGGGCTTTATGGATGTTGAAGCTTATATGGCGTTCGTTCCGTTCGTTCTCCTTATCGTCGACTTCCGGTGCGGCCTGGAGCAGCGGGCTAAATTCGCAAATTATCATTAGGACACAAAGCTTGGTTTTACGCAGATAGCAATTAGATCGTTGAAAGGACAATATTTTAGAGGAATCATAGCATTATTTGTGAAAATGATTTTAAAAAAACACATCCCGTCAATCCTTCAATTTTGGTATATTAATAGCAACGACATATTTCGTGGAGAATCATAGCATTAGTTGTGAAAATGGTTGAAAAACAAACACGTTTTTCCCGGCAATCCTTAAATTTTTGTATATTAATAGCAACGACATATTTCGTGGAGAATCATAGCATTAGTTGTGAAAATGATTTAAAAAAAAACACTTTTTTTCGTCAATCCTTAAATGTTTGTATATTAATAGCAACGAAATTAATGAAACACTGTGAAAATGCGTTTTAGCAATAACAACACTTAAAATATTTTAGAGAGACATTTGTTAACTTAATAGATTTCTATAGTTTTTACTTTTGTCACAAACTTTTATGTATTCACATATTATTTTATACACTTAGACTCGCAGTTCGCAGTTAGTTCGCAGATTAATCTACATAATGTATTTTTTTTTAAATATTTTTCAACATTTTTTTGCCTTTGATCATTTTATATCGATTGCTCTGTTACATTATCCTTCACTCACTTGATATCCTCGTCATCATCGCTTATTATAATGTCTCCATCCTCTGTCAACACAGATGAAATAAAAAGCAGCCACAACGCCGCAAAAAACACTTTGTTAGCCATTTTTTCAAGCTAATTGATAATTGTAGGTTTAAATGTATATCCAGGAATATCCTGTTGGTAGTTAGCACTGGTAATCCATTTCTGCAAGGACACTGCTGAGCTGGTAATCCTTTTTAAAATCCAGACTTCGAATTCACTGTTGGCACTCTTACACTTTTAGCACTTTTCACTTTGTTTATATTTACTGAACTTGACGATTTCGATGCGCGATCGCGACTAATGGTTCCCATGAATGGGCAGCCCCTTTTATAGGCCCGATCCCGAAGCTGGTTTATCAAATAACTCGGAAGTGTTAGGCAGAATCCCACTACTTATCCACAATCCGCAAAAAAAAAGCACCATCTTCACCTTATCGGAATCGTCGTTCTTAAATTAGCAACGCCAATGTACCGAATCTGTGCCAAGTTTACGCTGATGCTAATGCCTGCGTGATAGTGGCATTTCCGGGACCTATGTCATAACTTTACTAAAGTCCGCGAAGGGGGTAAAACTTGTTGACTTGGGGTAGCCCAATCTGCTGATATGTCGCCATTCTAGAGTTATCAAGTCAGCAAATAGCAACTGAATGAGCAGCGTCCTACACAGCAACATATGTACTGGCATTGAACTTGGTTAGTGGAATAGAAACAATTGAATGTTGGCCAAGGATGAATATTTCAAAATTCAACGTACTACATTGTGACCGTTAAAAGTTATCGGTTAAAGCAGTGCAAATGCTAGGGGCAAGCAGTTTACGGCGCACGCGTTCGCTATGCAGCTTAGCTCGGCGCTCGCTAGAGGGCGCATTAGTAAAGTGACTTGCGCTGCTGCTTTTAGAAAGAAATAATATTTAGGTACGAAATTCCATTTAAGCTAAATCAAACCAGCACACTTATTTAAAACAATCAAAAACATTGATCAGAATAAAAATAGTTAAAAATTGCGAAAAATGTTATCCTAAATATTTCTTGGATTTCAGGCAAGTGAAGTCAACCCAAAGCCCAGTAAGCTATCGAAATTTGAATTTTCGTTAGCAAAACGTTTAATACATTGGAAAAGTTTTTTTTTATATTTCTTAAGCTAAAACTGCTGAAAATGTTAAATACAATAATCACCATTTTCACGTAAATATTATTACTTAATTATAACTATATTACTGAGCGAATACATACTGTTGTGATTACATTATTTATACTTCTAAGGTAAATACTTTTTGTCTTGGCCTAAACTTAGTATTAGTTTAAGCCATACGTGCCCGTAAGTCTATCATTTAGGATATTGTATTTGAGCAAGTGTTATACCAAAGGTTTTAGACCAAATAATTCCGCATTTGTGCTGGACGGCTGGCTGGGCTCGGTCTTAAATTATGTTGCTTGTACAAGTCTCTCGGCTTGATATACAACTCCTTGAAATCCTCACTGCTGACATGCCGGCTAGCAGGTCCCAGATACATTCCGTCTGCACTGTGACTGGAATTTTCCCTCAGCTCCACATCCGGTTCGTATAAGTTCTCGATTAGGGTTTGTCGCGACTTTACTCGTTGAGTACGCACTTCCTGAGCAGGTTTCTTGAGCCTGGCCCGTTGCGAGGCAAGTCCGGTGCAGCTCATGATGATAGCGAGTAGAACGCAAAACTCTATCATGGCCAATATGAGACTGGCGCCAAGAAAGATGCCGTACTGTTCGCGATACCAATTGTCCAGATGGGGCAGACAGGACTCCGTGTGTCGCTCCCTTTCGTAGGACAAGCGTTCCAGAGACTGACACATCGATTCATTGGCCGGCTTGGGGTCCAGATATGCCATGGCCTGATCCGCATTTTCCAGGACACAGCAACTGAGCGGCACCGGCCAGTTCCTTTGTCCATAGCCCTGCAATCTCCACAGCGATGTGTCGTAGTCCAAGGAACTTCTCATCCCGCAGCAGCCAAACCGGAGCTGTGCCAAGTCCAGGGCATTGGTAAACTGCTCCTGCCCGGGAACGCCATAGTTGCTCTGCAAGGAGCGCACCATCTGAGTCTCGTCCAGGCTGATTCCCAGGCAATGTGGCCACAATGTGATGGCCAGGCACAAAACCGATTCGGTCAGGAGCAGCACCACAACGCTCAGGAAGTATATGGTCAGAAAGCAATAGGTGTGAAGGCAACTGGCCCAGAAACCCACAACGGCAGCCAGAGTAGCCACAAATCCCGCAATCGCCACACCCAGTGCTATATAAAACAGCAGCGGCTGCGGCAGTGAGCTCAACCGATCGCTGGATGCTGCCAAAAGTCTGGAGAGCAGAATGCGTTTGTTGTCGGAGAAGATATATAGACCTGATACAACCAGCAGCAAGCCGCAGATCTAAAAAGTGTAATTAGTAAATAAACATAACATACAGGAAGTGCTTAGCGGGCTGAAGTAGGAGGGTATAAACTTTCACTTTAGTTAGTCACTCACCAAAAATAAAAAGTTGCATAGATTGAGCACAAATTTGTAATTAAAACAGCAGGCCATGTTAATGTCAATGCGGGCGTGGGTCTTTCAAAGTAAATTAGAACCAAATGATTTATGACGAAATGCAATAATTGCGACATGTACAAAGATCAGCAATGGTGGTGATGTATATCTCGATGTACTGCATGCTCAAAAGCGCAGATATGTAGATACTCCAAAACCGAAACTTCAAAACAGCACTCGTGTATTTCAACTCGGTCTTTTTCAATGCGACGCCATGGACAGTACAATTTAAACTAAACAGCGCGAAGATGCAACATTCTGTGGCAAGTTCAGAGAAGCGAAAGTAAGAGACTACAGAGAACTCGCTCGTAACTCTCTACAAACCCCATGATAGGTATGTAACTCTCATTGAAACTTTTCAAGCGTTTCGCTTAGCAAAGCAAACCCAAAAACGCTGTCCATCCACCAAAATTTTAAACTAGAGAGTGAAAAGAGAAGCCCATGCATGGGGCACAATGCTCGTTGCTCTTATTTGATCACTGCCACCAGCTCCATGTGCAACCACTTGGAACCGTTTTCCAACAAAAGCCGACCAGCAACAAACAATTACACAAGTTGAACTTTAATTATTACTAGACACCGGAATTAATGTAAAGTTCTCTTTATGGATCAAAATGTTTTGTGGTAATGTTTGCTATACCCGTTACTCACGATCTTTCTACCTTCCAATTTCTTAATTTTCCTATGAGTTCTTATTGCAAAGGGTGTATAGGCTTCGGCTTGCCGAAGCTAGTTTCCGTTTTTGTTAGGGTATACTCGTACTTTGAAAAGGGTATAGCGATTTCAATCAAAAGCTTGCAGCGCAGTAAGGAGTATATAAAGTATAAATATAGAGTATAAAGTATATATTTTTGATCAGTATCAACATCCAAGTCAATAACGCCATTCCCGTCGGTTTTTACGCAATCATAAAAAAAATTATATTTCTTGTTTTCGACAGTAAATAATGTCGATTTAAATTTAATAAATTTGGGACAACTATGTCGAAAAATGAATAGCCAATTAATGGAAAAGACATCTAAGCTTCGATGATTTTGAGCGTAAAGCATTCTAATTAAAGCCTTTGGAAAAATAATTGAAATTAAAATAAAAAAAAAAAAATTAAAAAATTCGTCAGCTAATGCATTTCTTCTTGGTCTTGCTGGTAGAATTTTCCGTCTATATTTGTGTGTATTCAAATCGTAGTAGGCTTTACCTAACACTTCTTCCCAGACTAAGCCTTGGCAAAATAAATAACTTGTGTATTTTCTAAATCATTCAAACTGAAAGAGCTATTTGCGGCGAGTGAAGCGGATCCAAATTATGCTAAAGATTCCAAATCGGCGCAAGATGCCTGTGTCAGAACAACAGCCTCGAATCATCAAGATAGAGAGACCCATGCCAGGAAGGATACTAGGTCCTTTGAACATGTCCAGCATGCAACAACAGACCTTCTTGGCCAAGAATAACCCAAAAATAACCGAAGATCTGGGCAGTCGCTTGCTGACTCTGCAGAGGCGTGTCCAAGAGTGGAAGTCTTCAGGCCAAGTCTAAGATGAAACGTAAAGTGGGGGATGACGCAAAGTATGCCTTTAGGAAACCAATAAAAATATTGTAATAATCTAAAATCAAGATAACCTTTTTTTAACAAATAAACAAGTATGTAAACGCTAGGATGGATATATAATTGCAAGGATTTATACATTTGCACATTTTAGTTTTTAAAAAGTGTTTTTTAACTAGCTTTAGAGCCAATCTACAATTATACGTTTGCATAACATTAATTTTCCATGGAAAACGTATGAAATGAAAATGAAGTGTAAACTTGATGCCGTATGACTCCTATAGACGAATTGGCTCGCTTTCATAGGTCGTAGGGTGAGTGACCTACTTAAATGGGCGAGTGCAATCAATAAGTAGTGCGTTGATTTCTATGGCTTCCCGGTGGTTTTGGTCTCCAGCGATGGAAAGCCAAACGGCTAGTCATTCGGCGTTTAGAAGTCAGTTGAACGGCAGCATGGAGCGTTGGTGCAACAAAGTGGCCGTGGTAAGTGGAGCGAGTGCCGGCATTGGTGCAGCATGCACCCGTGCCCTAATCGGAGCAGGCATGGTAGTGGTGGGTCTGGCCAGGCGGCAGGAGCGAGTGGAGAAGCTCCGCAGCGATCTGAGTCCCGAACAGCAGTCTCGGCTTCACGCAATCAAGTGCGACATTACCCAGGAGGATCAGGTGTTGAAGGCCTTCGACTGGACCTGCAGGCAGTTGGGCGGAGTGGACGTGTTGGTGAGCAATGCTGGGATCATTGGTACCGGAGAACTCAGCCAGCGGGATGATGGTCCTGCAATGCGTTCCACCATAGAAACAAACATTATGGGCACCGTTTACTGCGTGCGGGAGTCCTTTCATTCGATGAGAGCGCGGGGAACCGAGGGCCACGTGGTCATCGTGAACAGCGTGGCGGGCTACCAGGTTCCCAACCTGGGACCCCAGCTTCCCTCGCTCAACATTTATCCGGCCACCAAGTTTGCCCTTCGCGCCATGAACGAGATCTACCGCCAGGAGTTCCAGAGGCACAAAACTTCAGTGAGGGTTTCGGTCAGTCTCTTTATCCGTCCTTTGAGTATCACTGCCTTTTTTTAATTTCAATGAATCCTTTAATCCTTTTGCAGACCGTCAGCCCCGGCATTGTTGATACGGACATCTTGCCGGAGCAGATACAGGGTGTTATCAAACAACACATGCCCATGCTGCGAAGTGAGGACGTCGCTGATGCTGTTCTCTGGGCCATAGGAACTCCACCCAATGTTCAGGTAATACATTTCTAATTTTTAAGTGGCATACCTCTAAATGTTTCTGGAGCAATTCTCTAACAATCTGCATTAAAATTTGGAAATTTAATTTTTCTAAATTTTGTTGTAATTTTTCTGATGTTATAAAGTGTAGAAATCCAAAAAAATTCAAAATCGTCCCAAGCTGAACTTCTAAGCCCCATAACTCAACTAATCTTTATCGGATTTTGAAGTGGCATACCTCTAAATGTTTCTGGCGCAATTCTCTAAAAATCTGCATTCAAATTTTAAAATTTAATTTTTTTCAAAATTTTTTTGATTTTTTTGTCATTTTTCTGATGTAAGATGTTGCAGAAATTCAAAAAATGCCCCAAAGCTGATGTTCTAAGCCCCATAACTCAACTAATCTTTATCGGATTTTGAAGTGGCATACCTTTAAATGTTTCTGGCGCAATTCTCTAAAAATCTGCATTCAAATTTTAAAATTTACTTTTTTTCAAAAATTTTTTAATTTTTTCGACTATAGCATTTGATCTTGTTTACATATGATTTCCTTACCTTTCTTTCTTCGCAGGTCCATAACATAACTATCAAGCCGCAAGGCGAAAAATTCTAATCTCTCTTCTGCTAAACAAGCAACTGCAGTGGACAACATTCGATGAATACTAAGTTTTATTTGCAGTGCGTAACTAGTTTTGTCTTAAGTTAAAAAATAGCATGATTGGATCATAATGTTTGTGTTTAATTTATTTTAGACGAAGACCATTGCTTGGTCCTTAACCAAATTGCTGCACATTGCCCATTGTCGGCGAATTCGATTCCCCACATCGGATCATACCCCAAATCAAACACCCTTTTCCGCCGACACTTCTTTTACTCTCTGCGAAGGACTTTCAGAGTGGATTTAAGAGAGGTTCGCCACGGGTCTCAACTTTATGTTTTAAACGGTCCTTTTCCATATCGTTCCAAAGCAGCTCCAAGCTGCTCCCCAATGCATCCTGGCTACTCAGTTGTTTGGAGCCAGTCGCTCTGTAAACATCGTCCTTTGTTCACTGTGTCCTCTTTTTTCGCTTTCTCAGACTTAGCATCTTTCGCCATATGTTGTCGCGTGCATCTGTTGATTGTGGTTCTACACCCCTAACGCCCTTTTAAGCCTGATGATATGGGCAAACAGCACACAGTTTCACTTTTTGAATAGTTTAATTTGCAAAAATGTTTGCCATTATATTCTTATAGTTTTAAATCTATATTGCTTATATTATATATTAAGTGGTAATTACTGGCACACTGTGAAGGTATCCAAAGGTTTTTATGTATGTCAATAAATACTTTTTAAAACCTCTATTTAAATGTCACTGTATCTCAACCTGTTCACCGCAGCTGTTGGGTGAATCGCCACGATATCGTTAAGAAACTCAATTTAAATGCACATATTACATTTAGCCCAAGCTGACCAAACGACTCAACGGTGGTCCTCGTCACCTCATTCGATTTGGATGGAGGAATCTCCTTTTGTATTCATGAAAGCTGAAAAGTTTTTCGGTTATTTATTTAATGGGTGCTGAATTCAGCGGAGTCCATTGAGGGTGCTCATGGTTCTCGTTCAATGATGGGGTTTTGGTACATGTGCAAATATTTAAATTACCGCGCATGTATTTATCCGATTTTTGTTTTTAATTAATTTTTTAAGTCCCTTCGCGCTAATTTCAGCCAGCGAAAGTTTTAATCGAATTGCATATTCCCTTTATTCATATATAATGTGGTTACGCTGAAGAAGAATACCCTTTCATTTGTATAGATGTATACCCATAGAATTTGTGATCCTTAGATTTATATATAATATATTCAAAGACAACAACTTTGTGAACGAAAATTTAAGGAATTAATCATAGCCTATCGTTACGTTCCGAAAATGTGATGCACATAATATATATTCATTGGTTTCCGAATTGCACAAACGATGACCAATAAATTATTTATTTAACAAATGCTCATCAGCGCGTAAGCTGCTCAATAAAATAAAACTATGCAGATTTGGCAATAAATAAATGTTTAGCGGCTAATTTGGCAATGTAAACTTAATTTTCAAATATACATATAGGCCTATTTCCACATAAATTAGCGTAAGCCCCGTCATCGATAAGGCAATTAATGTGCGGAGAGCAGCCAGCCGCTATGCAAATGTTCATATGTTAAGCGCCATCCACCGAAATGACATCTATGCGAGATTATAAATCACAAACGCTGCTTTCTCGTGGTCGATGGCAATACAAGTACTATTAAAAGCCATTCCAATGAACCCTGGTTCTCGTAAATCATAAAGGAGCGCCATCTCAGTTCCACTTCGTCCTTTAGACCTGGTCTCTATTGTCTTCAAATTTATGTCCTGCACTGGCCCTTTGCGTTCGGCATTGTCCTGATTTCGTTCTTAACCTGCTGCCTTTGAGCGATATGCTAATTAAATGGAGAGCTTAAATAAATATGATTTTTGAATTAATTAAGTTTCAGCCATTGTCTTAAGTGAGGCACCCCTTGTTAGTGAGCATAAATCGATTAAGTTTATTGAAACCCGTATAAGAGCTTCGGTCTGCTGCCTCTCGTATACCTCGTGAAGTATGTATGCTGGGCATATGCATGTAATGAATTCAAAAGATAAACGAAGCTGACGTCAATGACTTCAGAGCATAGGCAACGGATTGAATGGAGCTGGAGCATCCAGGACACTCGCCTTGATGACAGGCCAGGCTTAAAATCGATTGCGTACGACTCGATTCATTCAATCAAGTTAAATAGAATCGGGATTCTGGAAACATCAGCTGCAGGCTCCTCCGACTATGGGAAATGCAACCTATTGTCTTCGGACAAATGCACAGTACATGGGCGTATCAAAAAATAATTTTCAATGGGGGAAAACTACGGTAAAATATTTGAAATAGTTCCCTTAATATCGAATAATTAAACTAAATAATAAACTATCTGAGCCATTTACTACAAATAAGAATCATAATTTTAATGTATTTAGCTTAGCATATCTGAGTTTGCTTTACTTGAATGAAGATGATAACAAAGATAACATGGCACATTGTATCCTTGTTTCAACTGCAATGAGAATGGAGTTTCAGAAGCTCTTATAAATCTCGAAGTAAAATGAATTCGGATGTGCCCAAGTCTAATTGACTTGCCCCTTTGCCTAGCGCTAAGAAAAATAATTTATGTTCAAATTATACAATACGCAAGCTAGGATGTTTATGGCACAATGGATTTTATTGAATAATGGTTGATTTCACAGCACATAATATGTGTGGTGGCCACAAAATTCCCTGGCAATCTGTATAGCCTGTCGTCCACTCCACGGCTCATATGCTTTTCATTTTCATTGGTTATTTGTCGCTTGAGTTGTTTTTCGGCAATAAAGATTATAATCTTTGTATGCTGTACAGAAACCAACAATAACGATAAAAGCAGGAATTTGGTCTACCAAAGCTAAAGCTGGGGCAAACTATTGTAATACCAAATCGGATACAAATGGCAAGATGCAGGAAGGACTGAGTGTATCTATGCGTGGCAAATAGTGAAGGGTTTCGCTTAAAACAAGTAATTTCCGTCCTTAAATCCATTTTTTCTGGTATTTTCAAGACCTTTCTCCCACACATTCAGTGGTTATAAAAAACCCAAAAGCATGTAATTATTATTCAGCTATTTATTCTATAAAATTTGGTTTTACATTAATCTAATTATACATAATTTTAATACAGGTCAGTTTGTGGTGATAATATTATTTTCACCTCTGGCGGGATTTTCAGGAAGATTCCAGAAGGGGAAATCTATTTATAAATTGGATGACATTTTCCGACTGCCGATTAATACGCTCAGCTCGCAGCCTTCGATCGTTGGTAATATCTCTAAGAAAAGTTGACCAGTTCGATGCGAGGTTCGGCAATTGCTCAATGGATATTTCAGTGGGTGACATCGTACTTTTGTTGGCTCCAGAGATTTGGCCAACTGAGGAGTTCTCGTTAGTTGATACTGACACGATGTTTGTCATGTTGAAGTAAAATGTTTCGTTTTGGGTGAACTGATAGGATGACGCTCTTGCAGCAGACTGATTTGAAGGTGTCCATGCATTGGTTTATATAGAACTAAGCAGGTAGCTTTACATAACTCTTCTCCATTGGGTACAGGTAGCACCCGTAAAAATCCCACGGATTTATATATCCATACCTAAGAAGGGCAGGGAACAGCTGCATAATCCCCCAACAGATGCCATAGCCTAATATAGCCATAAATGAAGTTGAGGTATGACAAACTTGGGAATACCTGAGCTATAGGTATAAGAATAGGAACATTTTGCGTCGAAAGTTCTCGAGTATGCATTATTGCAAATAGGAAAAATACCAATTCAGCAATGTGTCACCCATGAAAAGGATAATAAACGTCACAAATTGTATGAATTGTATCACTCTTAAGTGTGATAATGTGAGCTGTTATGATCGCCTAAGGTAATGTAATTATTCTCCAATAAAACACTGTATTTAAAATATGCGTACGTATATTTTCGGTGGCAGGAGCAATTTTCTTTAAGGTATGCAAAAAATGTTTTTATCTGGATTCTAGAGTTGAGTTCGTTTTTTTCTGTCGGAATATTAATACGCATGCCATTCCAGCATCCTGTCGCCTGCGAAATTGAGCAATTTAATTATACTCATATGGAAAAATAATGATGCTGCCGCTGCATATTCTCTGGAAAGGTAAACATTGTCATCCAATGAAGGCTTCAAACTGCCGGGCGACAATTGCAATTAATTGCATATTTTAAGCCATTCCAGATTGGAACCGCAGACGTGAACAACAACAATTGCAATACAACAAGAAAAACAAAAATTATATATGTTTAATGTGCGTAATAAAATGAAAAAACAAAAGGATCGGCTTGACCGTTATCAAAGGAGAGAAATTAATTGGTCTTTACGCCGAAAATTAACAATTATGACAATAAAATGCATTCTGTTTATCATAGGAATATCCGAACTATAATTTTAAATTTATCAGGGCAATAAACATGTAAATAGAGTTTAAATTAAGAAAGTGCTGTGGGATCAACTGCGGTCTAAAATATGTATTGACTTACCCATACAGGAACTTAAATTCGAGCTGCCACTTTTTTTTTACTGCATATTCGGTGAAATTTGAGTTTGTTGATTTCCTGTGGCACCCCAGATAAAAAGTACTCTTACATTTTATGGCATTCTCAATGCCCGTGGAGTGTGCAATTGCCTATCTCGTTTTGCCAAAATATTTTTAAGAGTCCTCTACGTGCATACTCGCGACTTTTACAAGTTTCTGGGGAGGCCCGAAAACAGGAAACAAAAAGCAGATCGCATAGGCAGTGCGGAAAGGATTCATAGCCAACTTGGCGTGTGTGTGTGCCACTTGACAGTCGTTTAAATGCATTAAAATATTACCTTCTTCAACATGTGCAAAACAAAACAGAGGCAGCAAGGGCAAACATGACATCCGCCAAATTTCCACATGCGATAGACTTTTCGGCAGGGGGAAGCTACGCCCACCAGCAGGCCGGGAAAAATCAAATCATCAGCCAAGGCCGCGCCAGCCGATGACTGCAACAATGGTGAAAGGATAACTTTGGCGTGGCAGTCTGCTGCCCGGACAGGAAAAGGGTTTGCCACAGCACTGAAGTGGGTGGTGACGGGGCGGAATGACTGAGTCGACTCGACTAGTTAACACAAATTGAAATTTTTGAACCAGCAGAACGAAAAATAGGAATGCTAGAATCGAGCTATTGGCCATGTTCTCGTTTTCAGCTATGAGGTATTCAATTTTCATGAAATTTATTTGAAATTAGGGAAAAATGTTTTCCATAGCTGCTTTAATATGGAATGCTTATTTTCAGAGTACCTGTATTTCCGGACTCTTACATTTAAATTAGTAGCTGCCTAAGCCACCAATGCCATGGTAAGAAATGTAGTGGCACATTGTGATTTTTATAAGACTTAAGTGCTCCTGGCCAGCCAAACCAAAAACTATAAAAATAAGGCAAGCGAATAGAGCGACGACTTCAAGGGGAAGGGAATTGGTTGTGGCCGGCGGAAAACAAAATATTCATGAACACAGCAGTCTTATAAATAAATTCCAGCCCCAACACAGAACCCATCATTGGCACTTCCACCCTTAACCTCGGTCGCACCCACATCGCCTCGTTGTCGTCTAGCGATGCAGCTGGTAAAGGAGTATAGTGGTAGAAGCCAGCAAAGAAACCGCCAAAACGGGAAGAAAGTGGCTTTGGAGCGGCTTGAAAAACTTAAAAATATGCCAGCGGCGAGAGAGAGAAAATGGAGCATCAAGCTTTTATGATGGTTCGATTTCGTGGAATTAGCAATGAGCAGGATTCGCAACAGAATGGAAGCAGTCAGGGGTCGACGTCGACCATTTGCCACTGAAAAGCAGTCGCTTATGCAGGAGGCGAATTTTTAATAATGCTAGCGCCAAGAACTTGGAATGGCGCAAATGACTGTAGAGTGGCGAATACATAATGCAGCAGCCATCAGGGTCCAACCCGTAAATACACTCAACAGCATAGGTAAAGTATCTCAGCTATGCCAATGGGACCTCAAATTGCGAGATAACTAATGGGGCTTGTCTTAAATAAAATAAGCAGTCAACAATAAGATACTTATCCATTTTATTGCAATATTTGACAATCTGTTGATATTTTAAAAATATTCAAAGAGGTGCTAAGAAGTATGCTAGAACGCACTGAAATTGCGATAGAAATTTATATCATACTTTTTTGCTGCTTCAAGTATTTAAAAAACTACTTTGTCTCCCTCGTTGACTTGAATCAAGACTATTTTTGATCATTTAATGCCAAGTATTCCGTTATCTGCCATCTACGAAAATCGGGGCGAACGTGCTAAATCCATTTAAATTAATTTAAGCCATTGACATTGACAGGAAATCCCGATTATATGCAATTTGCCGAACTTTCAACTCCACTAAAGGATCGTTAAGTGAAGGCAATCGTCAGCCGGAGGCGGCTGGCGACAAAAAGCCATAAAATAAATTATTTCAAGAATCAATTACAACTAATAGCACAGACCAGCTGGAAACCAATTTAATTCACTTGAGTTGCATACGTAGCGCGTTGGCCAAAAGATGAGGGCAAGGGGAGTATGCCAGCCGGGGACAAAATTCAGGACCCACTGGTCCCAATGCCTTCCGTTGATTCGCAATGTCTCCGATTGGGTGGATGAGGATGTGGCTGCTTGCCTTGGGTGTGTGTGTGGATGTAAATCACGTATGCGATGATTTAAGCCAATGCATAATTGATTGTAATGCTTGGCAAGCCGATTTCGGTTTGCATAAGCACAAGGCCAAGCACACACAGCATCCAGTCTTCGGAAATTAGCCAGTTTGAATGTGGCCCGGGGAGCAATGGATGGGATCTTTGAAAGCTTTCCTTTGCAGATTGGTCAAGTGGGCCTTTTGAGCTGCGAAGTTTAAAATTTGATTTGGCAGGTTTATAAACATGAGCTAATCTAATACTTTGCCTCTAAAATCGATATATCCAAGCCTGCACAAATGGATAAGCATTATACATTCTACATTTATTTTATATTGTGTCCTAAAAATCTATAAAGCTTAGTGTCATAGTTGAAAAGTTGGGTGCTAGATTTAGGAACGAGTTAAAAAGACTGGCATAAAATACCCAACGCTTGGAACGTGAGATGAAAAATGTGTAGATTAGACACAGTTTTTACGGTTGAAGCGAAACTAAACCGAACCTAAACCAAAAAAATAATTAATTTGCCTTAGATATTATTTAAAAAACATCATTTAGAATAAAAGATACCAGTTTTAGACGAATTACAGATGCCAGGCAGGATATATTTACCGGCCAAGTGTGTAGCTTGTGTGTTACCTTTTTGTCCATGGAGTACGTTGGCCATCAGGTAATGGCTTTTTCAACTTGCTGACTTCCGACTTTAAGTTGCTGGACGACACGATTGCGTTGCTATGTGCACGGAATTCTCAATTAATTTTAATTTCATGTCAACACCTTCGGCCGACAATTGCAGGATGCAGTTGTAGGCAGGATGCTGCAGATTCGGAAGTGTAATTATCCCCATATTCCAATCTGGTGCTCCCCAGCCGTCTCCTATCTCTCCCAATTAACAAAAAGAATGTGAGGCAGCTGGCTAACGGGTGCTGGCTACCCTGGGGACCTAGTTGGACATGTCCGTTTGAGGACATTAACCTGGCAGCAAAGGTACACGCACGTGTGCGGAATCTGCAAGAGCCCAAGTCCTAGAAAAAGGACATCATGTGGGGTAGGAAGATATACACGACTGCCGACGATGACAGCTTGGTATTTGACATTTGCTTAATGCACATTAAGCCCACCGGACAACAGGATCTCCATGGATGGACTGCAAGTCTATAAGCAAACTAATAAATATTTTTGGAAACTCATCTTGCAATGATGAGTGTGCATACACATATATATTACAGAGCTCCTCTAAATCGTAGAATATAAACTTAAACTTTATATATGTTTACCATTAATACTTTTTGCCTTGAAAGACCCCGGCAACTTGGACTTAAATTATAGCAACGGCCACAATAGTCGGGTTTTCTTTGGCAGTCCAGCCGTATATTGTTGTGAACCTCTTCTTATGATAAGTTGACTCCACATGAAAAGTTGGCGGACTTCTGAGTCCGACTCCCCTCTTAACCGCCCCTGCATTTGCATTTCAATAATTAAGTGTTATTGTGGGTAGTTTGCTTTTTGTTTGCTTTCGTTTTCCCCATATACACTTGGACTGAAGGTGCATGCGTGCCATTCAACTGCAGACAGAGGCACATTAAAAATATAACAACAATGAAGTTGTATGCCTGATATTAATTCAGTTGCAATAACTTGAACAATAAAAGCAGGATTGCACAGAAGCCCGCAAGCATTGCACTTACATTTATTTATGGCAGGCAACTTTTTCACATTCCTGCCGTCTTATTTATTTCATGATTCAACAATTTACCCAGGTTAGGCGACGTGCATATTAAATTATCCTTTTGTGCGACGGCCAAGGAAAAAGGAAGAAGTGTAGTCGAACAAAAGGACACGTAGTATTTTAACCCGGACGACTAGCCAAGTGTAAGCAGTTATAGCCGACATTTC